CAGACACAGCCTCACCCTTCACAATCTGCTCGACCTTACAACTCACACACGTATGCGATTCTACTTGCAGGGACTGAGCAACAATCAAGGCCTGGTGATGAAGACTACATCGAACAGCCTAAGAACACATTAATCCTTTATTGACACAAACTCCACTTGCGAAAGAATGAGACAGAGGCTGCTGGTGGTGCAGGGATTGGGATTGTAGAAATAATGTATTATTTACTATCTTTTTGTATTCTATAATCAAATATAATTATATTTTATTAATTATTTAATACAAATTTGTAAGCAAAGCCAAAACAAGCTATTCAAATGCTTGTAATGACTGGTATAAATTGTAAGAGGATACTATACTGTTAAAATTTGATAAGTATATTCTAACATTATTATTTCAGGAGGTATGTTATAATCACTTGTATATCTTGACAATATGTACAATTATAATTAATATTAGTAATTTTAATAACTATTCTGGATTCTTGCTTTACTTGTACTAAATTATAATTGACTTGTGAAAACCACTATCTAAGTTATTATCACTTTTACAAAATTTACAAAAAGTAAAAAATATACTAGGTTATAATCTAATACAACTGTTAAGACTTTTTCATGATGTATCACTTTATCTTTTGATAGAGCTCACTGTGCATGCCTTTGTATATTTTTGAAAAAGTAAAATGATCCAATTCATGTACCAGACTATGTGTGTTGTAAAGCCTCTTAATGAAACACGAATTTTACTTCTTCTTCTAAAAGAGGGAAGATTCATGATGTAATAGTGTAAGGCATTTTTACTATACAAACTATGGTGGGTCACCAGTGAACTACAGGTTCTGTATGTTCTGACACTTACATCCTAGTGCTTGTGTCTCAGTATCTCTGTTTTGTAGGACAGTTGTAGCCTGGGTCCCCTTACTGAGCCTTTAGGTCCTCTCTACACTGTTGCTGACACTTATTACATTGTTCTTACTTCTCTTGTAGTTACACAACCATGTAAGTTTCCCTCATTCCAACCTGTCCTTTTCTCAGTCCACCACCTCTTGTTGTTCTAAGCCATACTAAACTCTATAACCATTAAAATATACTATGCTAGTGTTAAATTCAACAATTATTGAATACAAGACCACTTTATCAACCCTATATTATTTTCAAAACCTGAATAAATACAGATTGGCAGTCCATTTCTTCTTAAGATCAGGAACCCACCTATGTGTTTGGAATACTCAGAGGATCTCAACCTGAGAGTATATTTGATTGTACAACAGCATTTCAATGTTCTCGAAGGAACTCCGAGTTTGAAGAAGTTCCGGTTATCATTTAGCGCCCGTGCCCGAATTACCGGTTGTGCTTACATAAGGAAGTAAAGATATACTTACAGGTGTGTAGCAAAAGTGTTCGTCATTCCTCAAAAGGTAAGTGTATTTGTAAGTGATTTGCATTGACTTATAAGACTGTCAGAGACACATTAAACCTTTGTCTTACATTTCTGGCATACATGAACACATTATACACACAAAAAACATGAAAAATACAAGCCATTTTGTGAAAATAATGTAAAATTCTGTATTTTTTTGTACTTCACAATGTGTAGATCAAAGCTTTGTCCTACATCTAATTTCTATGTATGGTATGCAAATCACTTACAAATACATCTACCTGTTAAGGAATGACGAAGACTTTTGCTACATACCTGTATATTGTGCACTTCTCTTGTCTCGGAGGACCTGGTTCATAGTGCATACGCCTCCCCAGCTCTCGTCTCGTCATTGACATTATATATTATTGGCACACGTTAGTCGACACTCCTTCTATCACTTTGCGTTGAGCAAAAAATCCGCAAGACGGAGGGCTGTCTATCGTTGCGTTGTCTGCCATCGTGCGAACATATCTTCAAGTCAAGATGGACTTCCGCCCGATTGGCATTAATTCCCTCCCGGTGGAAATACTCTGCGACATCTTTCTCAAATGGGATCGCGATGCGCGTCGAAGATACGATTGTCAGGTACCATTGACAATTTCGAGGGTTTGTCGATATTGGCGTGATGTCTCTCTGTCACTCAGAGTTCTCTGGACATACATAGATATTTGCATCAGCGGTAGAGCTCGAGAAAGGTATATCGAATTTTTCGAAACATGGCTTCGCAGGTCCAACGGTGCACCACTTAAGCTCGTCGTCAAATTTGATCTCACGTACAACCGATCTCTCGAGGATAATCGAGTAGCTGAACGCGTTGTGTGTATATTGATTTCTCACCAATGGCACTGGGAGAAAGTCCAATTTAATTGGAAATTTTCGGCGTCTCCTGGCTTCCCGGGTATAATACTTACACAAACGCCAATGCTCACCAAACTTAAATTACACGTCGAGCTCATAAACGGGTGGGTCAGTGGAAGTTTCAATCTGGCACAGGCTTCAAAGCTTGAGTATGTGGAACTTAGGTTCCCGTTGTCTCTCGAATTTGCAGACAAGTCAATGATAACTACGCTGCATTCACTTTATTCTTATTTGGATCCACAACAATGCCGTAAGCTTCTCGAGGCGGCACCAAATTTGAAGGAAGTTTTTATTAACAGTAGATTTGGACCGACTGATGAGGTGGAGCGTTTTGTCATCTCGCATAGCCTCGAGAGGATCGATTTGACTGGTCCTGCATCACACATAATAATGGATAAACTGGTCCTCCCTGCCTTAATGGAGCTTCTCTACAAAGATTTCGCTTCCAGAAATGGTGGTGACCTAACGGGCTTTATTCGACGCTCCTTACCACCGTTAACCAGGTTGACCGTCAGTTGTGTAGGAGCGGCGACACTTACGTCCATCCTCCCACTCCTCCCCCTGCTTCGAACACTCGTAATGAGGGAAAGCACTATTTCAGCAGAACTCTTCGAGCTTCTTACCGTACCAAGCGGAGCGAGTACGAATTATCATGCTAGGTATAGGAATAATCGAATCATATGCCCCGATCTGCTATGTTTTGAGTTCTTTTGGGATTACTCTGTTGAAGGGAACTTTCGTGAATGCATTGATGCTTTATGCACAATGTTAGAGTCACGTTGGGATGATTTGATAATTTGCGATCATCCGACTGACATCCTTGGGCCCCACTCTCCCCTTTCTTCGGCTGACCGTAGAAAATTGTGGACCCGCATTGCAGATGGGCAACCATTTTGTGCGTCCGCACCCATCCCGAGACGGCATAGAGTTTTAGGAATTACATGACCTGTCTTTTCATAATCACTTTTTTGCCAACGGTGACTTTTAACTACTGCTGTACTCGCTCATCAGAGCCATTCAAGTTACCTGTAAGCGTTTTGCGTTTGGTTTTTCTGATGATGGTACGATCATATAGAATCCACGCTTTTCGAACCAGCATTTATTCTTATCACATTGTTCTCACTTCTCTTGTAATTACACAACCATGTAAGTTTCCTTCAGTCCGACTTTTTCCTTGCTCAGTCCACCACCTCCTGTTGCGCTTAGCCATGATAAATGTTACGACCATAACAATACGCTATGCTAGTGTCAAAGCAATGATTATTGATAACAAGACCACTTATACCAATCCCGTATAAGTTTCAAAACTTGAATAATTATTGCTCGGCAATCCATTTCTTCTTGAAATCGGGAACCCACCTATGCGTTTGGAATACTCGGAGGATCTCGACCTGAAGGAATTTTTCAAACTGCATAAGAACATTTCAACGTTCTCGAAGCCGCTCCAAGTTTGAAGAAGTTCCGGTTACTTATCGTCGACAAACAATCCTTGCTCACTATAGTAGTACACGTGAGATCGACGCCCAAATGCCACGCCTTCCAGCTCAGCCGTAGCCTGTACAGTGTACCGCGCTACCCGCAGTCTGCTCAGTGCTCCAGCCCACTCCCCCACATACTAGCCAATGACCTCGAGTACCTGAATTTCTCCAACTGATTTGTACACTTTCAACGGAACACATTCACGATTTTCAAGTCGTCGTAGGCCTCGGTGCATTGATCTGTAGGCAAATATTTTCGACCTCCTGCCTTCTCAGTCCTTCGAGTCCGCCAAGCTGGAGCCAAAGCTACTGCTCCCATCCATTTCCCTTAATTCCGGGGTACCCTAAGACCAAGACACGATGTTCAGCATTGGTAAAAGGCAGGAGCAGAAAATTGGAGAAGAGAGCACGCGACAGCCTTTACTTAACGGAGAGGATCACAGCGATCCCATTCTGTTCTCAGTGGACGACGAGGATGAAGAGGAAACAAGTGTTACCCGGCATACAGAAGAAGAGGTACCTCAAAACAGAACGAGATCTGTCCGGTTTCAAGAGGAAGTCAGGGTTATAGGTCCACCGTTACGATCTACTTTGGCCAGTCGAGAAGCAGGTATGTTTGAAATTAGGCATAGAAATCTGCTCTTCCCTGATTTCGAGATTTAGAATTTGAACTAGACTCGGATGAACTTGATGAAGATAGTCTTTCTCAGCTACATGGTGGTTCGCTTGAGGCGAACGGATCCCATGGACGAGATGGTGACCAAAGCATGCCATTATTAGTGGGCCTAGTGGATCGTTCTGCTGCTCGACAAAGTCTTGACCTGCCTTTAACGGAAAATGGCATTGGTTCCGCAGAGGACGGTTACACAGACCTTCAAGAACTCGCAGCCAAGCGTACCGCAGGCGGGAATATGGTAGACTCGGTAGCGAACATGGCGAACTCAATTCTCGGCGCTGGTAAGGCTGAGTATGATTTATCCGCCTGCTTGTCCTGATTGATTTTTGCTTTCAGGGATCATAGGTATGACCACACACTAATCTACTGAGAAATTAGAAACTTAGTCTCATAGGTCTTCCTTATGCTATTAGCCAAGCTGGCTTCTTCACGGGACTCTTTCTGCTAGTCGTCCTTTGTGGCGTTACCGATTGGACCATTCGTCTCATCGTCATAAATGCGAAACTCAGTGGGCGGAATTCGTATATTGAGATCATGAACCATTGCTTTGGCGCTAGCGGCCGAGCGGCGGTTTCCTTCTTCCAATTTGCGTTTGCATTCGGTGGTAAGTCGTCCCCTTCAATTCATTGTTACCCTCCTAAGGTCTGGTTTGCGCAGGGATGTGTGCTTTCGGGATCATCATTGGTGAGCAGTATAATGATTCGTTTTCTTCCGTACCTGAGGCTAATGATATCTCAGGCGATACCATCCCTCATGTCATACGCTCCGCCTTTCCTAAACTCCATGATATACCGGTTCTCTCCCTGTTAACGAACCGTCAATTCGTCATTGGCCTTTGCACGCTCTGCATCTCATATCCGTTATCTTTGTACCGCGACATACATAAACTGTCTCGAGCGTCGGGGCTCGCCTTAATTGGGATGCTGATAATCGTTACGTCCGTCCTCATCGAAGGGCCTCATGTTGATCCCCGATTAAAAGGTGACCCATCCGAACGGTTCTCCTTTATTCGTCCCGGGATATTCCAGGCCATCGGCGTGATTAGCTTCGCGTTCGTGTGCCACCATAATTCCTTGCTTATTTACGGGAGCTTGAGGACACCAACCCTTGATCGATTCGCAACTGTGACGCATATATCGACGTTGATTTCACTATTAGCGTGTTGCACACTGGCAATTTCTGCGTTCCTTGTCTTTACGGATAAGACACAAGGGAATATCTTGAATAACTTTTCGCCGGTAGGTAGGATCCAACAGCCTCTTTCGATGTCAATTCTAAGGATGCATATTTGTTACTTTGATAGTCGGATACCTTGATCAACGTTGCGCGATTTTGTTTCGGGCTGAATATGTTCACGACGCTGCCACTCGAATTGTTTGTTTGTCGAGAAGTCGTCGAACAATTTTTCTTCCCGCATGAGGCGTTCAATCCGCAACGACATCTCCTCTTTACAACCTCCATCATATTTTCCTCTATGTTTAGTGAGTCGTCCACCAAAGCCCTGATGCTATCTTTCACAGCTAATTGTGTTTTTTATTTTTATCTAGTCTCCCTTATAACGTGCGACCTCGGTGTCATGCTCGAGATCACTGGCGGCATCTCCGCCACCGTATTAGCATTCATCTTTCCTGCTGCGTGCTACGTCAAACTCCTTCCACCTGAACTACCTCTCACATCACGTGCGAAGCTGCCAGCTGTGGTGTGTGTAGCGTTCGGTGCGGTGGTTATGTTGCTGAGTCTCATATTGGCAATGGGAAAGGTATGGACTGTTGAGGGTGATGCAAAGATTTGCGTATAATTTATTTGAAATCTTCGGAAGGACAGTCGGGAGGTGTATTGATCTGTTGCTATTGATGTTTGCTTTTTGTCTCTCCTACTTTACTCTTTCGTTGCATCATCTAGAATACCACATCGGACTCTAGTACTAGCTTTCAATCGGACACGCTATTCTATTTTATACCGTGATCTAATGTCTTGGTTATTCCAAAAAAACAAAAAAGCGTAGCACAAGATTACAGGGGGGTAGTACACGTCACTTTGATTTGCTCTAGGTTCTTTCCTCCGACAGCGGAACTTGGTGTGTATTACACGGCATCTTCCAAAGCCTCGGCTAATCCGGGAACGGATTCTACGCGTTCACGACGCAGGCCCTTCTCAAATGATTCCGCAGCAGAGAGTGGAGAGACGTCTAGATCCTTCCAGTCTGCCCATACACGTTCTACGCGGTGGAGAGGTGTATTCTCGGTGTCGGTGAGATCAGTAGTCCGTGGATCGAATACGAGGACCCAGACTGCGTCATAACCACCAGCTATTTTCGATAACAGTCAATGAATAAGTACACAACAATGGTGAGAAAGAGGGAACTAACCACCAGGAACACCACCAGCGATGACACCCTCTTGTGCAATGCAGGCGTCAAGGAGTGCTGTTTGTTCTGGTGGCTCTATGGGAACTCCCGCCCGGTTGCCCATGTCTCGCATCTTTGCTCGGATATCCTGTCAAAATAAATAAAACAAAAGGAGAAACAGCGTAAAAAGGAGCATGGAATAGGCATTAGTCATTTCCTTCTTTGTTGTTATAGGAGGGCCAGGAAAAACACGCACTTCGGCAAGTTTATGGACATTGATGAACGTCTGGATGATGACGTCGGATGCGTCTGTTGTACGCCATTGAGAAGCCGGGAGGTGCGTTAGTTGGGCGAGTGCTCTGTTGTATAGCTCTTCGTATTTTGACTGAAGCTCAGAGAGGTGAAGAAGTGCAGCTGCAAACGCTTCGTTGGATGCAGCGAGGGCATCCCACAGAGCAACAGCTGTTGAAATAGTATGAGTATCATCGTGCAGCCTGTTCGCGGAATACCCACATTCAGCTCCTGATGCTTTATGCCACTTCAACACCTTTCCTACAAGAGAAGGTGTATCGCTCCCAGCATCGACATCAGCCAACATAAGCCGAGTTCCGGGTGGAAGCTGGAACGGCTCGACCTTATGATCCCAGGCCTTATTCTCTACACCAAGAACTGGAAGAAGGGATACATTTCCACTTGCTGCATCTCCCATGAGAGGTGCTAATACATTCGGGTTGAAGCGTGTGTATTTATGACTTCCAAATACCGCAGCTGCAACATCAAATCCACTTCCGACTTTTCCCTGGGCGATGCAGTGGGCGGCTTGAGATGCTGCGTGTACTATATGCACGTTGGTGTCATCTCCAGAGAGAACAGGAATGGCCTGAAGATGTAAGAGGAGTGCACTGACGAGAGAAGTGGTGAGCGCTGCAGATGAGCCGAGTCCTGTCTTATGAACCTCGGAGATCGGAACGCCTGTATGCGCGAAAGGAGGTATCTGCGCTAGTGACGATATGCGCGGCTCAAGGCCAAGTTCCGCGAGCTATAACCATACTATTTAGAGTATATCGTTATGGTTAAATTAGATACCAACCTTTGCTCGTTGTGAATAGAAGTCATTTCCACCGACGATGGTAATATCAAGACCATGTTCAAAAACGCTCTTAAGATGCGCTAATCCCTTCAGCTCGGCGACGAGTCGGAGAGTGAGCTGAAGTGCAATAAATACAAATTTATTTTTTGGAGCCCTATCATTCTAATCTTCAGGCAAGTAAACACGATTGATATCCTCTGTATGAGACTTACCCTTCAGGCTGAGTGACATTTACATCATCTCCAACTTGTACATAGTATTCCCAGATCGCATCTTTGAACTGTGGTGATCGCACAGTCACAAGTCCCTCTTTGCGATTTCGAGCCGAGTTTATCACGGTATAGAACCGTGAAGATGTAGAGACGACCACCCCAGAATATTTCTGGTCGAGCACCAGGTAGCCGCCAGCAAGGAGCACCTTGCCCGACGCAGACACGACGGTTGGCTCATCGAGCTTGCGTTCCAAGGCGCTCATGATTGTTGTGGTATGAAGTAGAGATGATCGAGGAAATCGATGCGTTTCATAAACTCATAACCCCAACGCGCCGCCGTACGCGGTGGAAAGACAATTGAAATTAGCGCGATCATCGGGAGGATGGTATTCACGTGCTACTTTCTTTTCCGATTATTCCATGACGTAATACCAATATACCTCAAGTCCGAACATTTCGATCTGATCTGAACTGATCTAATGGCTGAAACCCACTGATACCGATTTTAAAACAGGAGGAGATATCCAAGACACGATAGACCGCATAATAGTGTATATTTTATTATTTTATACGTTATGAATTTATTCAGAACAATGACTGTATAACAAAAAAGAAAGCTCCGAAGGAAATGAAGAAGAATAAGTACTGAGCCTGTGTCGCATGCAATAAAAAAATCTATACTTGTACAGATTTACAGAAAGCAAAGATGTCATACCTTAGAGCTTTAAAGGATTCATAGACAATTGAAGTTAGTTGATCTTTCTATCGGACTCGCTACCCGATACGTTATCTATTTTATTCTATACCGTGATCTAATTCTTTGTTATTCTGAACACAAACCAAAAATACGTAGCTACTAGCTCAGGATGATAACTAATGGTAGCACACGTCGCTAAAATTTGTGATAAGTCCCTTCTTCCGAGAGCGCAACTCGCTATGCGTTACGCAGCACGTTCTAGTACTTCAGCTAATCCGGGAACAGAATCTACGCGTTCGCGACGCAGACCCTCTCCAGACGACTCCGTAGCGCAGAGTGGAGAGACATCTAGGTCCTTCCACTCTGCCCATACACGTTCCACACGGCTTTGAGGCGTGTTCGCGGCATCTGTAATATCCTTGGTGCGTGGATCGAATACGAGGAGCCAAAATGCGTCATATCCACCTCCTACTCAATGGCAGTCAGTGTTTGGATAATAAACAGGGTTGAGATGAATAGACGGACCGCCGGCGATGACACCTTCTTGTGCGATGCAAGAATCGAGAAGTGCCTTCTGTTCCGGTGGCTCAGTAGATACAAACGCTCGCGTACACATGTCTCGCATCTTTACTCGGATGTCCTGTCAAAAGATAAAAATAAAGTAAAGCAGGAAGGGTGTGCAGGAAATGGGGCATTAATCTTACATTTCCCTCTAGGAATCATCATAAAGTACGTACTTCAGCAAGTTCATGGACACTGATGAACGTTTGGATGATGATGTCGGATGCGTCTGTGGAACGCCATTGAGAAGCCGGAAGGTGCGTCAGTTGGGCGAGTGCTCGGTTGTATCGTTCTTCGTATTTTGATTGCAGCTCAGAGAGGTGCAGCAGCGCGGCTGCAAATGCTTCATTGGATGCAGCGAGTACGTCCCGGAGCGCGGCTACTATCCATCAGATGGTAAGAATTATTTCAGGGGCTGTTGAAGCACGGACCTTCAGGTTCTGAATCTTGTTGCCACATCAGTACTTCCCAAGCATCCATAGCTAGACAACGCGGCTTGCTCCCAGCGTCGACATCCGCTAACATAAGTCGAATTCCAGGCGGAAGCTTGAATGGCTCGACTTTATGGTCCCAAGCCTTATTTAGTACACCAGCGACCGTAAGATCGGAACTATCTCTCAGGGGTGTGTCTCCCACGTGCGCAAAAGGTGATAAACATTCCAGATTGAAGCGTGTATATTTATGGCTTCCAAATACTGCAGCTGCAACGTTAAATCCACTTTCGTACTCCATTTGTGCTACAGAGTGAACAACTTGGGATGCTGCGTGCAGTATATGCACGCTGACATCATCTCCGGAGACTACCGGTACAACTTCGAGATGAAGGAGTAGTGCAGCGACAAGCGATGTCGTGAGCGCTGCAGATGACCTGAGTCCCGTATTGTGAGCCTGAAAGAGCGGGACACCTGTATGTGCAAAGGGAGGGATTTGCGCTAAAGAGGACATGCGTGGCTCCAGGCCATGTTCCGCGAGCTATAAATAAACCATTAAGAATCCATCCTTACAGTTAAATAACATACAAACCTTTGCTCGCTGTGAGTAGAAATCATTTTCACCGACAATAGTAATTTCAAGACCATGTGCCATGGCATTCTTAACATGATTTAATCCCTTCAGTTCACCGGCGAGTTGAAGACAGAAGCTAAGTGGAGTTATCACGAGATTAGTATTTCCCGGGGTTCTATAATCCTAGTCCTCAGGCGAGTAAACACGGTTGATATCTTGTACACCACTTACTCCTCAGACGGACGGACACGTGCAATATCGTCATATCGTACGTGGTATTCCCAGACCGTCTCTTTAAACTGCGGCGACCTCACAGTCACGATCCCTTCTTTACGGTGCCGCGCCGTGCTTATCACAGTATAAAAGCGCGAAGATGTAGAGACAACCAACCCAGAGTACTTTTGGTCCATTACGAGGTAGCCTCCAGAAAGAAGCACCTTGCCCGGGGCAGACACGACAGTTGGCTCATCAGGCTTGTCTTGTGCAGTGCTCATGATTGTTGTGGTACGAAGCAGAGATGTTCGAGGAAATTTGAGTCATTTCGAAAATTTATATCCACAACGCCGCTCAATACGCGTTTGGAAAGACAGTTGAAGAAAGAAACGAGCACGTTCACAAGGTAGATGATATGCACGTGATATATTTACCCTTTTCTCTCATGAGTCATGGAGTAAACCTACAGCGTTAAAATGATGACAGCGAGGGGATTTGCGTCGTTTTTTTATCACCTGCCTCATATAGTAGGATTACCATGTATAGTGTTATTACACGTGATGTTCCACCACACTACAGAGATTTCTTTGTACACTGTAAAACTTACTTGAAGAAATACAAAAGGTCTTCCAAACATTCTCAACACACTATCAATTCCCATACAACTATATATCTCTTGATTTAGAGTGTTTCACTAGTCTTCCCAAAGGCTGCAGTAATGGTGAGAACTGCTTGCAAATACAGGCTTGTCACGTGCTATAATACCATATATAGCCCTCCTGCTATATGGAGCAGGAGGTAAAAAAAATGATGTAACTCGGATTGTGTAAATAAGTAATTCGAAATTGAATTCGTTCAGCGCTTGCAACAATCAAACGATTCTATTTTTTGCTTCAACCCCCTCCCACACCGCCGTAGGGTTTTCAGCATGACCAGTGCCGTGATCAAGCATTCGCCTCTCACCCTTAACCCCAACGAACATTGTACCTGTTGTGCACTGTCGTCCAGTCTGTAGTAGACTCTGTACACAGCCCATAGTCCAGTAACCAGTTTTACTTGACAAAACAGTCTGCTCACTCCCGGACACTCTTCAGAGACCAAGCATTTCACATCCCAGTTATCACAGCAGAACGAGCAAGCATCAATGCAGAAGCTCTTTTGTTTATTCAAAAAGTTCTTTCATGCAGGACAAGGTCGTGATTGTGAAGACAGGTTACCAGATCAAAGTAATGTGCCAACCACTGGTGTGTTCTCTTTCTTCTTTCCCACGAAAAATCTCATATTGACTAAATCTTCAGTGAAAAGGGTCAAAAGGCAGAGCCCCAACGGCTGTAAGCAAGTACTAATTCAGTTCAAATTCTGGTTGAGGATCTTTTCGAGGATCTTCTATTGCCTCGATTGGTCTATGATACACCACATACAAGCCATTATACGTTGGAAGCGCTTCATGCGCTCAGGGTCATGGGAGGACCTGGAAGAGGCCATCAAGTTGTACCGAGTCGCCCTTGACCTTCGACCCAAAGGCCACCCTTGTCATTCTATATCCCTAAACCGTCTTGCACTTTCCCTGCGGTCTCGATTCTTACAATATGGAAGAATCGAGGACCTTGAGGAGTCAGTTACCTTGCACCGAGACGCGTTGGAGCTTCGCCCCGAAGTCCATCCGAATCGTCCCAATTCCCTAAACAATCTTGCATCTTCCCTACAGACCCGATTCTTGCAATACGGAAGGACCGAGGACCTTGAAGAGGTAATCAAGTTATACCGAGACGCGTTGGCGCTTCGCCCTGAAGGCCATCCGGATCGTTCTATGTCTCTAAATAATCTTGCATCTTCTCTACAGACTCGATTCTTACAATACGGGAGACCTGAAGACCTTGAGGAGTCAGTCAGGTTGCACCGAGATGCGCTGGCGCTTCGTCCTGAAGGCCATCCGGAGCGTTCTTCGTCTCTGAATAACCTTGCATCGTCCCTTCAGACTCGATTCTCGCAATATGGAAAGACCGAGGACCTTGAGGAGGTAGGCAGGTTACACCGAGACGCGTTAGAGCTTCGCACCGAAGGCCATCCGAATCGTCATAATTCTCTGAACAACCTTGCACTTTCTCTGCAGACCCGATTCTTGCAAGATGGAAGGTCCGAGGACCTTGAGGAGGTAATCAAGTTGCATCGTGACGCGTTGGAGCTTCGCCCTGGGAGCCATCCGAGTCGTTCTATGTCTCTAAACAATCTTGCATCTTCCCTGCATCTTCGATTCTTGCGATGTGGGAGGTCAGAGGACCTGGAGGAGGTGGTTAAGTTGCTCCGAGACGCGTTGAAGCTTCGTCCTGAAGGCCATCCAGATCGTTCTATGTCTCTGAATAACCTTGCGTCATCCCTGCGGACTCGATTCTCGCAATTCGGAAGAATTGCGGACCTTGAGGAGTCAGTCAAGTTGCACCGAGATGCGTTGGAGCTTCGTCCTGAAGGCCATCCGGGTCGTTCTATGTCTCTGAGCAATCTCGCACTTTCCCTGGAGACGCAATTCTCACAATATGGAAGGATCGATGACCTCGAGGAGTCGGTCAAGTTGCACCGAGGTGCTCTGGGCCTTCGTCCTGAAGGCCACCCAGATCGCTTTACGTCGTTGAACAATCTCGCATCTTCTCTGTCGACTCGATTCTCACAATATGAAAGGACCGAGGACCTTGAGGAGTCAGTCAAGTTGCATCGAGACGCTCTGAAGCTTTGCCCTGAAGGTCATCCGAATCGTTCTAATTCTCTTAACAATCTCGCGCTTTGCCTGGAGACTCGATTTTCGCAATATGAAAGGATTGAAGACCTTGAGGAGTCAGTCAAGCTACACCGAGGTGCTCTGGAGCTTCGCCCAGAAGGTCATCCTTTCCGGTCGTCATCACTGAGGAACCTTGCAGACTCTTTATATACTCGGGTGAAGCGGCGATGGTGTATGAAGGAATTCGAAGAGTGTATGCTTCTATTGGAGCTCGCTGCTACTGATAGATTCTCGGGAACATTAGTGCGCCTTCTTGCCGCGCAACGATGGGCAGAAGTAGCACGATTGCACAATCACGACACAGCATTTGCAGCTTACAAAGCGACAATATCGCTACTTCAACATGCTCTCATCATAACCCCGACTCTCCGCGAACAACACGACTTCCTCATTGGGAAGAATGACCGCAGAGTGCTCACCTTGGAGGCGGCTTCCTATGCGATAGAGAAAAACCAACTGAAGCAAGCTGTGGAAATACTCGAGCAAGGAAGGGGCTTACTTTGGTCACAGCTGCGCGGTTTCAGGACGCCTCTAGATCGACTTGCAGAAAAGAACAGAGAACTCGCCGACAGATTCAGGGATGTTAGCCGTCGTCTGGAGAATCTTGCAACATCGCACGAAGCGTTAACATCTAGCTCATTCTTAGATGGCATTGGGTCACTCCAGCTGGGTGCCAATGCAGATCGGGAGTCATTTGAGAAGCTGCTAGAGTCGAAGAGACTGCTTTCCAAGGAGCAGGAGGAAGTTATTAACGAAATTCGACGAGTTCCGGGCTTCGAGAACTTCCTTGGAGCTACACCGTTTAAGCTACTACAACAAGCAGCGCCCGAGGGACCGATCATCATAGTCAACCACTGCGAATATCGCTCCGATGCCCTCATTATCCTCTTTCGTGATGTTTCACCCGTAGTTTGCATTCCCTTGGACGACGAATTCTATAATGATAGCATTACGCTGTGCAACGAACTCGTAGACACGCGTCAACGGCTCAAATCGGATCCGCTTGAATATGACGTCAAGCTCCGTGAAGCTATGAAGTTGTTGTGGGATAGAGTTGTTTCCAAAGTCACTGAAAAACTCGAGGAACTTGGGATCATTAAAGGGTCGCGCATTTGGTGGTGTCCTACATCTGTCTTATCTACGCTCCCGTTTCATGCGGCAGGACCATTCGAGGATGCAGATGGTACCACTAGATATTTATTAGACATTTTTGTTTCGTCATACACCCCGACCCTCGGCGCTCTCATTCATGCCCAATCTAATAGCAGCACCAGTGAACCCAAATTGCTCGTCATCGCGGATACTGTTTCGCTCCATTCGACTCGACAGGAAGTCCGGAACATCCGGAACTGTATGGGCAGCGACAGTCCTGGGACTACAATACTCCTCGATCGCAGGGCGTCTCGGCGTACGGTGATGAAAAATCTTCGGAAGGTTACATGGGTTCATTTCGCTTGCCACGGTCACTTGGACCCGAAGCCCTTTGACTCCTCATTCAAGCTCGCCGATCGGGATTTGACGTTGCTCGACGTTGTTCAAGCTAATGTTCCAAACGCCGAGTTTGCGTTCTTATCTGCCTGCCATACGGCCGAGTTGTCCCGTTCTGGTGCACACGACGAAGCTCTTCATCTCTCAGCAGCTATGCAATTCAGTGGGTTCAGAAGCGTGATCGGGACGATGTGGGAGCTTTACGACGAGGATGGACCTTTCTTTACTCGAGTGGTTTATGAATACATGAACAGATATGAAGATGGCGAAGTGAAGCATAAGAGGGCGGCTGCCGGACTTCGGGAAGCGGCCTTGAAGTTGAAGGCGAAGGATGGGATTCCGACTGAACGATGGGTTAATTTCGTGCATATAGGTGCTTGAATGATGTCTCAATAAGCTATACAATATGAATCATCCTTCGGAGTGGCAGGTGTGCCGAGATATCACACAGTCGGAAAAAATGGTGTATGCTGTCGCAACAATGACCTTGAGCAGGGATACTAGGATGGCAGAAACAAAACCCGGTAACAGGGTCGATGAAGCATAATAGATCTGGCAAGCCCAGCACAGTGTGAGCATCTCACAAACTGAACAATGAATCGTGTTGATACGTCATGCACAAATCAAACGAAAGGAAGATACAACAATTGATAGGTTTACACCTGTTCAAGCTATCCTTCAGGACAGTCAAGAATTTATGATTTGAAACGGACACTCTGATTTATTGATGTAAGGCCAAATTACAGATTGACACTAATCTTTAAGAAAGATAAAAAAACTGCAAAAGAACATAACATGTGAATATGATAACTTAACACAGCAAAAAAATTACCAAAGTAAAACCCGTCTTAAATAGAAGTACCTCATTTGATTCCGTTTGTTATGGTGCCGGTGGCGGCGCCGGTGCCGATGATGCCAAGCTCTTCAACACTCTCGAGTGTATCCGAGGTGCGAGAGATTCCACAGCGTCGACGTTACACATGACACCACTGTCTAGATGAACAGCGTTCATCTTCTTCGAAAGGTGAATACGCGATGACTGATTCGTTGGTAATGTTGATGTTGATATTGAAGACGGAGATCGTGATGAATTGTTATTTATGGATTCGCGGATGGCATCCTGGATGAGCTGATCGAATCCGGGGATAGGGAGTAAGACACCGGTCTGTGTTCTCGAAGGAGATTTGTTCGGAGAGGAGGGTGTGCCTGTTGTTGACTTTTCCTTGTCGGCTTCTTTGCCGAGCCGGGATTTCGCAACGATTGAGGAAATTTGCTTCCCGCGCCCTTGCGTTGCCTGACAAGTAGTGCGAGCGGATAGACTAGCATCGAGAATTACAACGCGCCGACCGGTCATTAATCGGAAGTCCAAGGCGTGCCTAAACATTACGAATTTTCAGTCATTAATGCTTGACGAAATCTTTCAAGGGATACTGGGATACTCCTCACCTAAAATCACCGTACATGACCCGATACCATCCCACAGATTTCGTAATCACCTCAACGCCAACTCGCCTATCCTCCACAACTTCCACGCTCCTCCTCAGCGTGTCCACTACGCAGACTAACGGCAGACTATCTCTCAATAACCCAACTAGTTGGTGTAATGATGCTGATAGTGACGGGCCTTGTCGGAGGATGTGCTGTAGGAAGGGTTGTGCGTCTTCGTGAGGATTATATAGCTCGTCTTCATCCGACACACGGAGAGGATCAAATGGGACAGCGAGCATTGAACTACGTCCAAGCTTGCGTATTCGCGAGAAGAATAGTTCATACGTGGTATCGTTGCTCAACATGAGTTGATCCGTGCACGAAATTGATACTGTGTAATCCTGCATGAAAATAACATGAGGCACGGAGATAAATAAATGAAATTAAAATTTGAAAAATTTCCTTGAAAACAATCATTTGCGAAAACTCATACCTTCGCATACGCGAACTCGACAGTCTGCAGATCAAATGACAGAAGTCGCACATCTTCCCATGACTGTCGTTTCGACATCTGCGCAACCTCTCTAGCAATCACCACCATCTTTGAGACTTTCGCCCACTCCTCAAGGAACTCATCGACACAAGTGTCGACAGTTTCGGACAAGAAAGACACGATAGCTTCTCGCGCATCGTAAATGATTCGTTTCGACGGGCGTATGACCGTACTTGTTCCAGCACGCTTGCCAACCGGCTGTTGAACATACTTCAGCTTAACACACGTCACCACTTGCGATTTCTTATTTGACCACCAGTTAAGAGGAATAACGCGGATGTTGGGCATTGCGGCTTCCGCAGCGGGGACGCCCGCTAGAATATCGGATGATTGGACGCATAGTCCGGGGACGGATCTTACTAGTGAAGATTGTAGGTGAGCAAGGTCCGGATGCGTGGTGGCTGAAGGAGCGGTGTCCATGTAGGTGCAGGGTATTCCGCGTCTCTTCAATTGCAGCTCCACTTTCGTATATGCAACTCGGGCGCTAGTTGTATTATATCAGTAAAGATGCATTCTTTTAAATAAATAGTTATGCTAACCAGCAGTAGGAATAAAGTTCCCGAAGGACCTCCGTCTCCAGCTTGAACCTAGTGCAGAGTGAGTATTATTAGACTCAGCTGACCGAAATTAGACACACCGATCAAATCCTAAGGTAATATCGAACGGGCCAAATCCACCCAAAGAACTCGTTCCAGTAACCTTAGGCGGTTCATGACTCCCCGAACCTAGTTGACCAAACTGCTCCCTCACAACAGCGTCACTCCCGTGTATTCGCTGAACATCGAGCCAACCGATATCTTGCAGAACCAAATCCGAAGTCGGACTATTCTGCTTTTGCTGCACAGAAATCAACGCAAAGCGAAACTCGACCTCAGTCACTAGTAAGACCAGATAGTATCCTTGGAAATTTGCAAGCTGTACGAATAGCATTGAGCGAGCTTCTCGCCCAAGTTTTTCGAGCTCTAAACGATCATGAGTTGTTCAACCCCAGGTATGTATAGGCAATCAGTCACTTACCCTCTTTCGGAAGATTGCGACTTCGGAATGTCTGAAGCCCCATATATCGTGCTTTCTGCTCGGCGAGATCCAAGATAGTCTAACGGAAAAAAAATGAACTTCGAATCGCCCGACAATTGGCCACGATATCTACTCACTCTGAAACGAGCTTGAACGAGGAAGTCATATACAAGCAGCGGGTTTTCGTTAATCTTCTCTGTGAACACTACGTATTGTGGTGCTCGTTCAGCTGCTGCCAATCCGCCCGTGTCTCGCAATAGTATACGACCTGTCCGTGTGTCAATTGAAACTGTGATATACTCGTCCGCACAGAGGTGCATCCGAAGTGCCGAAAACCCATCTGTGTGAGCCGTCAGTTTAAAAAAATGATGACTCAAATGCCGAGTCGACTTGCCTTCGACAGTCAGAGAAAGCTCTCCTGGGAAAGAGAACATGGTAGCAGATGGTCCATTCTCTAAATGGTATTGATAAGCAGTGAGGATCGCGTAGGCATGCTTCGTGATCGCTTTTCGTAATAATGCTTCGAAGTTTAGATCTTGCGGGTTCTAGTTCATATTTTTCAAGCTCCATTTAACTATAAGTAATGTGGGTTAATACATACCACCTCCAGCTCCTCTGGAATAAGTGTCTCTAGGTGAGGCGGCATCTGCGCACCCAGGGCGCCTTTCGTTGGTTCCCATTTTACAACAACACGGAATGTTTCTACTTCGTCAGAAGGACGGGAACCACGTAATTTTCCGTCGAGCTGAAGCTTAGCTAAGATACGCTCTTTCGGTGATCTATCAGGACCACCGCCGGCTCGAGGAGAAATATGAGTCTCGACCAGAGAAACTGTCACGCTACCACCTATAGGTGGTATTCGCATTCGTTGCTGGAAACCAGGTCGAGCGGAGTTGTCGGTTTGAGTACGACTACGGTAATAATCGAGCATCAAGTTCCAATTCCAAGGAATCAGACCAGCGTGTTACTTACACCCAGTAGGAAGCCGTGAAACTCTTGCCGTCCCTACTCCTTTCTAATGACATGTAATCTCGCCATCCTAATGCTCGTAACCGTTGGGCCTGGCACTTAATAAATAATTGAATAAATAAGGCAGGGCAACCAAACAAACCTGAAAAAATAATATCTCGAGCTGATACGATAAAGACATCATTTCTGTCAAGAGCATTTAGCGATTGGGCACTAATACGCAATTTGTCAACTCACGTAAGAAATTAAATAGTCTAACAAGAGGAGTGTCAACAGTTCCGGCAGGCAATTCTGGCCGAAGAGGAGGTTGCAATTCGGGAGGGACATTCGGGTCTACTGGTAACGGCAGGTAGTAGGCTAGTCGACCATCTGCTTCTTCTGCAATATGTCGTTTTAGGTCGCCAGTTGGCCGCCGTGGAAAATCTGATGCATGTTCTCAAATTGAGTCATAGCAGAAAGAAGAATACGAAAGCTTACCTTGCACATCCGTAAGATCACCACCAACTGTATAAAGGAATTCTACATGTACAAAGAACCATCCATCGTCTTTCTTGGCTCCTCTTAGACTAAGTGAAGTTTCGAATAAGTTAGGAACAATGAAATGGGCTCGGCCGTCCTCTGTCATGCGCCTTAGTAAGTGACGCTGGATATGCTGTTGATGTTGAGGTATACCAATTCTAAATTGTGACATTTCAATCGGAATGATCTCGCTCAATCGCAATCGGAAGCGAATCCGCTCTTCCATATCGGCTAGTGTTTTCCTCGCTTCATTATTGGAAAGAGGTGGGGGAGTAATGAAGAATTTCTGCAGGTGTTGTGAGCTAAACCGACAACAACAAGTGATCCAGGACATGCCTTTATTTGGGAGGGCAATCGCAGGTATGAGCCCGTAGTTAGGACATCCAAAGACGTAAGTAGGTCGTGATTTCGAAGTCTAGAGGGTGAAGTAAGCAAAGGACTGGTAACTCCAACTTGCTATTGACCTTGCTGGTGCGAGGCTTTCCTTTACGTTTCTAACGGCCTGGTGAGACTCCTCGAACTGTCTGTTCTGTTCGAGCAAGAACGCAGTAATATTCTGTTAGTAGGATGGTTAATAAAAGGTGGCTACGTTTCGTTAGGATACTAAGAACTTGCCATAGCCTTCTGTACGTCCCCTGCATCTCTCGACCAGCGCATGACGGCGTATAGCTTCACGACCTGCTTCTTAGTCTTGACAACCCAGTCTGCAATATTTCGCTTTCGGGCTGCATCAGACATCCCTGGTAACCTGGTTGGTAGAAGGAGATAAAGCAGAGAATATTACAAGAGTTGGTGGTACTCACGTTTCAGCCATTTCGGTCAATTCGGCATAGATTGTCTGCACCATGCGCTGCAGCAGTTCGCGTAGAGGTATTTGTCCATCATGTACCACAGGTAGCTCCCTCTCGATCTCTTCCAAGCTTGGTTCACCATCAATCCCTTGCGGAAGAATATCGTTTATTAGATGTGCGTCAGTGTGTCCATTAACTGGTGGTTGACTCCCTGACGGGTGTATTCCGTTGATTTTTGTCTCCATTATGCCGAATAGCGGCGACGAAGACGGTAGTGCAGCCACCAGCGTCGTTCTATTGACATGAACGCGCTTGAGAGAGGAGCAGCGCGGGGCGGGGAACAGTCGCGAACAGTGAGGGTATGAGGACAGGAAACAAGGCGCGTCGGCGAGCCGCACCGCCGATCGACACTTGTTGACTGCTTTTGCCTCCGAGCCACGACTACAACTTGGGCCACAAATTTTAACTGTATAATTATGGACTTGCTTAGGAATCTTGGATCGGCTGCTGTCTCGTCTCTGGTGCAGAAATCCGGTCTAAATTTGCCCTTTTCTCTTGGAGAGAAGAACACGTACTTTGAGGGTAGAACAATCTGGACACTTTACGATGGTACAAAGAGGGTGAGCGTTCCAGTACACTTCTACCTACGTTTTGGTGCTGATTGTCACTCAGGATGATGGAACGCCAGTATCAGTTTTTATCTTTGACTCGAATCAGCCTCCTAGGAGAAATTTACTTCCCCTGGCAAAGAATGCTTTGCGAAAGCTGCGCACCGTTCGGCATCCGGATGTCCTCAAATTTATCGATACTGCGGAGTCGGATACTATTGTCTACATTATGACAGAGCGCGTAAAACCATTGGGACAAGTACTGCAGTCTTGGTCGACAAAGGGTGCGAAAGAGCGCGAGGAGTGGAACGTGTGGGGCTTGCAGCGCATATCAGTCAGTAATAGTAGAGGTAAACATGTCATTGAACTGATGGGTAATCCAGACAGCCCTGGCCTTCGTAAACGACTCTTGTGCATCAACACATGGGAACGTGCGCATAGACTCAATATTCTTGTCCCCCTCTGGTGAATGGAGACTTGGTGGATTTGAACTTCTCAGTAATGCTAAGGACGACCAAGCCGTCCTTTATGTACGTATGCTGTGTAAAATCGCTTCCTATTTTTAACACGTATACAGACCCTTGGAAGTGTCTTGCCCGATTCTAATAGGCATGCCTCCCCTGAAGTCAAAAAGGCTGGCTGGTCATCTTTGAAAGAGTAAGTTGCTCTGCCTAATATTATTGACGGCATATTCATTACCATTATAGGCACCACCCAGCAGTTGCAGATGCATATGCCCTAGGTCTCCTCATCCACTCCATATTTAATCCGAATGCACCCCTACCAGCAACAGCAGACCCACCCCATCCTCCTCCTCCTGCCTCCTCACGTGGTGCAATTCCCCCACCAATTTTCACTCAGTACAAGAAGCTCCTTAATCCCAATGCAAAATCACGCATATCCCCTGCTGCTTTTCTCGAAATCGGTATGGGGCAGACAGGAGAAGGCACTGGATTTTTCGCGAATAATACCTTTGTCCGCATGTGCGAAGGTCTGGATCAGTTCAATATCAAGGGAGAGGCTGAGAAAGCAGTTTTGCTTAAGTGAGGGTCTGAGTTTCCGCACCAGATCCACTGATAGGTATTTATGTCTATTTCCTAGATCGATAAAAGATTCAGCATCGACTCTGCCACCCGAGTTCGCATCGCATCGAGTGTTACCATCCTTAGTATCTGCGCTCGAGTTCGGTGGTGCAACAGCAAATACGATTCTCCCCATCGTTTTGCAATTAGGTGTTCATGCCTCCCCGACGGACTATCCTACGATAGTCCTTGCTCCGGTTACAAAACTTTTCGCTAGCCCCGATCGTGGAACACGCATAGCACTACTCGAACATCTTTCCGAATACGCCGACAAGCTTGATAATAAGACTGTTGCAGATAAAATTTGGCCGCATCTTCAAACGGGATTTACGGATACGGTTGCAGTTATTCGGGAGGCTACGGTTAAATCAATTGGTCTTCTTTATCTTAAGGTATTTCATATCGTGCTAGATGTTACGGATTATCAGTTTATGAGTTTTGTCTAGTTCAATGATAGGATACTCAACAACGACCTTCTCCGACATCTTGCGAAGATGCAATCAGACCCAGAATCCGCAATACGAACAAATACTTGCATTCTTATTGGACGATTGGGACCTTCGCTAGGTTACAATACGAAGAAAAAGGTGCTCGTCCCAGCCTTCGCACGAGCACTCAAAGATCCGTTCGTACATGCAAGAGTGGCTGGCCTTATGGCATTCATGGCAACGATTGATTGTTTTGACGCTGAGGATCTTGCGACGAAGGTCATTCCGAGTATATCATCCACGCTGATCGACAAAGAAAAGTAAGTGCTATGGCGCTAATTCCTAGCAGTATGGCGTATTCTAATTTTTGATCTAGGCTAGTACGAGACCAAGCATTCAAAGCTATGGATCTCTTTATCAAGAAAGTGGAATCCCATGCAGCATCGATGGTACGGCTCTCAATTCTAGAAGATATTTAGACTACATGATCTAACACCCAGCACACAGCCGGAGACTGTCTTAAATGCAAACGGCCAACCGAACGTCGTTCTACCAGTACCAGCAGGGCAGAATGCTCTAGTGAACTCTGCTGCCGGTGCTGCAAGCGCGTTAGCAGGATGGGCTGTGTCTTCCCTCACCAAGAAGGTATGTGATCTTAGTGACCTTTGGTTAGCAAGTGCTGTTCTAACTAGAATTCTTCCAGCTTTCACCTGGTGATCTGCAAAGCACGATGGCGACGTCAACATCGGACCGTCCTGGCTCCACACCGCTGCCCCCAACGCTCAACGGTTCGGCTTCTACCTCCACCGCTGCGGGACCTTCAAGCACCATAGCGCCGTCTTCGTCAAAGTTTTCGTCCCCGGGAGCGACATCGTCCTCCACTACAAAGGGGCGTGGTATGCAGCTGGGTACGACTAAACGTTCAGCAGCAGATGTAGCAGGGTTGGATTCATGGGCCTCCGAAGACCTCATGGACGTAAATGCTGATGCAGATGATTGGACCGCGTTTGAGAGCGCACCGATGAAGAATGCGTCTGCTGCTGCGTCGACACTTGGGTTTGACGAGTCTCTAGCGTTCTCGACTCCTACGCTTTCAGTTGACGGTATGTGACGATCCAGTTCAATATTCGTTGGGTGATCTAATTGGTGATTAAATTTAGAAACAGACGATTGGGGAGCGATGGACGGCGGGACTGGTAACAATGATTCCTTAGAAGACGCATGGGGAAGTGACCTCCATACACCACAACCAACACGATCTCGCCCATCAGCACTCGTTACATCTACAAACTCTCTACAAAAAACGAAATCGCCTCCTGCACGAGCAAAGTCGCCTTCTGCCCTCCCAGCAAAGTCTTCATCACCAAATATAACCGTATCTCCACCTCGGGCTGTATCTCCTGTTGGTAGTTCCGTACCTGGAACGCCCACTGCTGTCCCGATGACGAAGGAGGAGAAGGCAGCCGAGATGGCAAGACGGAAAGAGGAACGAAAGCAGGTAAATGGTCTATTTGACCTATGCCTTCTGTCTGAGTAGTTCGCTGATTCTTGCTATTTAGCGTATTGCAATGCTCAAAGAGCACAAGAAAGCCACTTCGCCGAAAGCATGACTGTAGAATTTCGCTTTATTTGCTTGGTTTATTCGAGGTATTTATTGTGCATTGTACATATGCAGTATACCACGCATCCTGGACATGTTAGGAGAATTCTCTAGTCGTTCATAATTTAACGTTTCTCGTACCTGGAGATCTTCAACCAATATGCCCACCAGTTACCCGTGAGGGAGGGAGGGACTATGATTTCTTGCAATTTAATTTTGTTTGCCTTTGTTGATGCGGCCTGTTACACAAGTAACTTCACATATTCCTGGCTTAGTTGCTCCAAAGTATGCAATGCATCAACTTTTTTGGACTGAGATTGGCAAGTAGATACCAACGATGTATTTGCACACGATTGCGTCAAAACACACATCAAGACAAGCTACAGACAGTAATTAGACAGTGACGGTAATACAAATAACAAGATATGTTCCAAATTTTATTACGACACAATTCAAGCACCTATATGCACGAAATTAACCCATCGTTCAGTCGGAATTCCTTCCCTTGCTCTCAACTCTAATGCCGCTTTCCGAAGTCCTGCAGCTGCCCGCTTATACTTCACTTCGCTGTCTTCACAGTCATTCATATATTCGTAAACGACCCGAGCGAAGTGAGGCCCATCCTCGTCGTATAACTCCCACATTGTCCCGATCACACTTCGGAACCCACTGAATTGCATGGCCGCTGAGAGATGAAGTGCTTCGTCGTGTGCACCAGAATGAGACAACTCGGCAGTGTGGCAAGCAGAGAGAAATGCGAACTCCGCATTCGGGACGTTTGCTCGGATGACATCGAGTAATGTCAAATTTCGGCCAGAGAGTTTGAACGATGAATCAAATGGTTTCGGGTCTAAGTGGCCATGGCAAGCGAAGTGAACCCATGTGACCTTCTGAAGCATCGTCAATACTGTACGATGAGACGCTCTGCGATCGAGCAGTACCGTAGTTGCTGATTTGTCACACCCTAAGCAGTTCCGAATGTCCCGAATTTCCTGTCGAGTTGATCGAAGCGTAGCAGTATCTCCGACAATAAGCAATTTTGGTTCACTCATGCTAACCTTGGATCGGGCACTGATGAGTGCGCCGATTGTCGGAGTATATGACGAAATATAGTCATCTAATAAGTACTTTGTAGTCCCATCTGCATCCTTATATGGTCCTGCGGCATGGAATGGGAGCGCAGATAACACCGATGTAGGACACCACCAGATCCGAGATCCTTTTTCGACACCGCATTCTGAAAATTTATCAACAACTTTGGAAACAGCTCTATCCCATAACATCCTCATCGCTTCACAAAGTTTCTTGTCATATTCTACCGGGTCCGATTTGAGTCGTCCGCGTGTTTCCACAAGTTCGTTACATAGCTTGATGCTGTCGTTATAGAACTCTTTGTCCAGCTGAACGCAGACAACTGCTGAGACATCATAAGGGAGGATAATGAGGGCATCGGATCGATATTTGCTATGGTTCACGATGATGATCGGTCCTTCTGACGCTGCCCACTGCAGCTCTTTAAATGGCGTAGCTGCAAGGAAGCTCTCGAATCCAGGCACTCGTCGGATCTCGTTAATAATCTCATCTTGCTCGTGCGAGAGTTGCTTCTTCAACCTCAATAGCTCGTCAAACGAGTTCCGCCCTGGTTTACTGTCCAATCTAAGTGATTCGCCTCCATCCATCGTTGAGCCAGACGCTAACCCTTCATGAGATGTTGTCAGATCCTCGAGCCGGCGACCAACATCCCTGAATCTGTCGGCAAGTCCTTCGTTCATTTCTGCAAGCTGATCCAGAGGGGTCCTAAGACCGCGCAGCTGTGACCAAAGTAAGCCTCTTCCTTGCTCCAATATCTCTACAGCCTGCTCTAATTGACCTTTCTCTATCGCGTAGGAAGCGGCGTCCAAGGCAAGCATCCTGTAATCGCCATTCCTAAGAAGAAAATCATGTTGTTCGCGAAGAGTTGGATTTATAGTGAGAGCGTATTGAAGGATCGATGTGGTTGCTTCGTATGCGGTAAAGGTGGAGATGTGATTGTGCAATCGCGCAAGTGTTACCCATCGTTGGGCGGCAGGAAGGCGGACCAACAATCCCGAGAATGCTTGACTAGCAGCAAGCTCCAGCAACTGCATACATTCTTCGAACTGTCCCACATGCCATTGTCTCTCAACCTGAGCATATACATCATCTGCAAGGCCCCATAGCGACGCCGAACGATCAGGATGGCCTTCGGGTCGAAGGTCGAGGGCAGCTCGGTGCAACTCGATGGCTTTCTCGAGATCCTCTATCCTTCCCTGCTGCCCGTATCGGGTCGTCAGAGCGTTCGCAAGGTTGTTGAGAGAACTGGAACTATCAGGGTGGCCATCGGGGAAAAGCTCGAGGGCGGCTCGGTTCAACTCGATGGTTTCCTCGAGGTCCTCTTTCCTTCCTTGCTGCTCATATTGGGTTGTCAGAGAGTTCGCAAGATTGTTGAGAGACATGGAACGATCAGGATGGCCTTCGGGGAGAAGCTCGAGGGCGGCTCGGTGCAACTCGATGGCTTCCTCGAGGTCCTCCATACTTCCCTGCTGGTAGTATCGGGTCGTCAGAGCGCTCGCAAGGTTGTTGAGAGAACTGGAACGACGAGGATGGCCTTCGGGGAGAAGCTCGAGGGTGGCTCGGTGCAACTCGATGGCTTCCTCGAGGTCCTCTGTCCTTCCTTGCTGCTCATATCGGGTTGTCAGAGAGTTCGCAAGATTGTTGAGAGACATGAAACGATCAGGATGGCCTTCGGGGAGAAGCTCGAGGGCGGCTCGGTGCAACTCGATGGCTTCCTCGAGGTCCTCCACTCTTCCTTGCTGCTCGTATCGAGTTATCAGAGCGTTCGCAAGGTTGTTGAGAGAGATGGAACGACGAGGATGGCCTTCGGGTCGAAGCTCGAGGGTGGCTCGGTGCAACTCAATGGCTTCCTCGAGGTCCTCCGTCCTTCCTTGCTGCTTGTATCGGATTGTCAGAGAGCTCGCAAGGTTGTTGAGAGAACTGGAACCATCAGGATGGCCTTCGGGTCGAAGCTTGAGGGCAGCTCGGCCCAACTCAATGGATTCTTCTAGATCTTCGATTTGGCCCCAATGTTCATATCGTGAATAAAGACATAGTGCAAGGTTATACAAAAAGTCCGAGCAATCAGGATGTCCTTTAGGGCAAAGTTCTAGAGCAGTACGATTGTGAATAATGGACTTTTCAAGTTCTTCCCGTTCCCATGATTGCTCGAAGTGCTCCCAGTGTTCGAGGGCAAGATTGTAATGTGTCCACGGATTGTCAAGATCAACAGAATCCTCAAGAGAATCTTGACTAGATGTAGTGCTTGACCCCATCTGTCAATGTAATCTGATCATCTGTATGTTAGCCAAACATAATTCTAACAGTAAAAAGAAGGCAAAATGCCCAGCCAAGATGCATTACCTAGTAGTCAAGTGTGAATTGGTCTTTACACTCCTATCCCAGAGACAAAGCAAATTGTCAGACAGTTCTGGCAGTTTCACTACTAAAGAATCTGTGACTGTGGACTGCGTCCAGGGCAGGGTTAGCTGGGGACCTGCGTACAAGGGACGGAACGTTGTGGTAAAGGGTAAAGGGCAAGAGTTAGGCGCTTATTTGCTGCGCTGGCCATGCTGAAAACACGATGGCGGTGTGATAGGATTTGATACAAAAATAGATTCGAATACCTTTCGCACGTTGTTGGATAATAACTTGGATAAATTCCAAAAATGTGCAGAGAAGTTGAGAGAACCAAAACCAGACTTATTTCACGTGATAAATTAGATCACATGAGTTCTTCAGGACTTCGGAATTACCTAATTGCTTGATTACACATTTCACGGCTTCTTACTGGTTAGACGCACATTGCACAACTGACATTCTTTCTTTCAGTACTCACCATGTCTTTAACGGCTTTCACTTCCTCTGCAGGTACGTTTGGATATATGACAAGCGTTTATAGGTGTTTCGTCTGATTTCGTTGGATGAATAGTTTCGAGAAGCGTTGGTGTTGCCACTCGCTCGGCGTTGTTGCGGCCAGGTGCTGTTCATGGTGAGCTCTTTACGAAGTCAGTTTGCCCATAAGATCATTGTTGACTTGAAATGTATTCGATTTTTACTTAGGTCTTCGTTCGTTAAAGACATCTGCCCCGGCACAAATTTCTTCGTCACCACCAGCTTTGGTGGATCCGCAACTCCCGACGACTAAACTCGCTATGCGAGGTTCGAACCAGCTCAGCTTGGAGACGCCGCAGAACAAGGCTGGTACGTGTATTATTTCAATACCCACTTACACTTCGTTCTGAAGGATACACTATGTAGAGTATGTATTGTCGACGCTGGACAAGGTCGTGAATTGGGCTCGACAGGGTTCGATGTGGCCTATGACGTTCGGTGTGTGATACAACCCTCTTTACCTTAAAAGAGCAATCATCGATGTCCGTTAACAGGTCTTGCATGTTGTGCCGTGGAGATGATGCACATGGCCGCAGCACGTTACGACCAGGACCGTCTCGGAGTCGTGTTCCGAGCAAGCCCTCGCCAGTCCGATATCATGATCGTTGCGGGTACTCTTACGAATAAGATGGCACCAGCGTTAAGGAAGGTGTATGACCAGATGCCCGAACCTCGTACGTCTTTTGTTTTGCATGTCGTTTAGCGAGATACTGATTTGTTTGTGCTGGTTAGGATGGGTCATTTCTATGGGCTCGTGTGCGAATGGCGGTGGTTATTACCACTATTCGTACTCTGTTGTCCGAGGCTGTGATCGTAAGCAGGAACTTTGACCATTGTTTTTGCTGTGCATTGACAAGACGTCTTTCTAGGTATCGTACCCGTGGATATATACGTTCCCGGCTGTCCCCCGACCGCAGAAGCTTTGCTGTACGGCATGCTCCAATTGCAGCGCAAGATGCGTAGAAACCGTAAATCAGCTTTGTGGTCAGTATTTGTTCTTATCTCATACTTAATTTGGGGGCACTGACTCTGTTGATGCAGGTACCGAAAGTAATACATAACCCCACTTGTCATTTTTGCTTGTGTAGATAGCAAACTTCACATGGTTATGCAAATCCATATTTTACTACTAAATGGTGTTTGGAGGTGAAAAGAGGATGAGCGTTCTGTGTGATAATTTCTATGATGTTGTTGAATCATACGCGCAGGCACGGGAACCTGTAGAGACATGTGCTTAATACGTCTGAGAGTCAGAGATGGTTCAAGGACACATAGGGTGCATTGCACAAAGGAAATATCTTGTGCATCTGCAAGCTATACTCAACGGATTTCATAAAATCATTATTCGATTATTTATGCATATATGTTTGTATTTGCGGGTATGATGAGTTGTTTTTATGATGGCGCGGCTTCCTGTCGGAGCATATAGACTCTGGGGTGTCTCACTGACGGAGAAGTATAGCGAGTTCTGAGAGTGTATTGATGAGTCACGGAGGGTTCATTCCACGTAGACGAGTCTGCGAGTGCGAGATGCACGTCTGCTTCGTCCTGCTCATAGCCTGTGTTTGCCACTCTTACTGACCAGCAGCATGTGTTTTCAAATATTTTGCGTACCACAGGGACTAGACCTACGAGCAGAGCAGAGAATGTAGCCTTGTATGGGTGATTAGTCAGCCGTGTATTTGCGGGGAAAGGAAGAGCACAGCGAGGGGGGCGTCAGTCTATCGTCTCGTCTCGTCTCGTCTCATCGCCTCCCGCCTTCACGCTCTGCTATAAACACCTGCCTGCTCTCGACGTCGTGCGACGGTGCACACGCCGTCTGTCGTCGTCGCCGGGTATCGCCCGCCATCGCGTCGCTTGTCGCTAGCGCGTGCACATTCGGCAACTCTTGGTCACGCCTCCTACCTTCTTTCGTCCTAGCCGTCACCCAACAACCACCGTCTGCAATTCATCCCTTTTTTTCGGCCCTCTCCTCCTTTTCCATTCCATTCCCGAGTTGTCTTTTGAATGACGACCACCACCACAACGGCGACGTTTCCTCCCGCGGTCGACAGCAGGCACCTCGCCGCCTACGGCCTGGGTCAAATCCCAGACCAATCCGGCCCTTACGCTGCTGTCCTTGGTCAGGACAACCTCAACGCCGCCTACGCTTATAGTAATTTTAGAGACAGAGACAGAGACAGAGACAGAGACAGGGAGCAACACCAGCTTCAACAGCAGCAACAACAACATCACCAACACTACTCGTCCTTTGGCGAATCGTCCGTGCGAGGAGGTTCAAGCAGGATGGACGTCGCTCCCAGGATGCGCTCGTCTTCATACAATGAGTTTTCCGCAGAAAAGCCGTCGGGTCCGGCATACGATCCCGCCGTGGGATCACGGCCTGCAACGGCCAACGACACAAACGCCTTACAACAGCCCGCTCAGTACGATCATGCACCGCCTACCGCTTCTACGGCGGCAGCAGCAGCAGCAGACTCGAATGACCGACTACGCTACACGCCCTCTCCATATCTTCGCGAATCCTTTCGCCAATCAAAAGACGACTCGGGCGTGTTCACTGACGTCCGCTCTGCCACAGACACGCCCGTCGACGTCCTCTCCGAGTCGAGCGCGACCCCGGGCAGGCAATCTCAACATCTGCAAAACGGCATGCCGAAGCACCCGTCGATATCGCCTACGAACGGCAATGTGCCCCCACGGCACTCCCCGATAATCCCCTCAAGTGCAGCGCCGTCTTATAAGCCCACTGCCATTCCTATCTCTTCCAGCACGCGAGCAGTTGCCCAGCAACCTACGTATATTACGCCGCCTTCTTCGCCCACTCCCATTGCAGTCAATCCTGTTTATAACACTTATGCACCCGATACGCGGTATAATCAGCAGACCTACCGGCCCGCTGGGTATCCTCAACAAGATGGCCGCGAGATTTGTGTCGAGTGCGCGATGCGCGATCAGGACATGGCTGATGTCGACGTCACGGGCCCCGGTGTATGGGACCGTGAAAGCGATATTCATTATCATGAACTCTGCCGCCAGGAAGCGGAGGAGGAGGAACGTGCTCGAACAAAAGCGTCTAACTCGAGTTCAGAATCCCATCAAGTTGTCGTTAGACCTGCCGACCATAGTAGACCTCGCGCACGAGGTAACCGTTTGACGGAGCCTAACTTGAAACTCTGGCTCTCAATGGTATGTACACTACGCTGAAGAATAATGTTTGCATTGATTTACTAATCTAAGTTTAAGAATCCTCGTGAGCCGCAAGCGCGCCAACAGACAATCGATCTTTACATCAAAACACAGACCGCGCTCTTGGAAGCGGAAGCTCTTGCCCGTGCACGCGCTATGCAAGAATCTCGTTTACTCGAAAGCAAACTGAAAGATACATATGATAGCTTACGGCGATCGACGTACGACACTTCTACCAATAATAACGGGGCAGCTGTCGATGAAAATGGGGTACGACTCAAGGCGTCTCATGGACAAAAGCGCTCAGTGTCTGGGCCCACTCCTTTATCTCTCGGCCCAATCGCTCTTGATGGATCGGGTCATCATGCGCGCCATCAAAGTCAAGGCCGTGAGGTGACATTATTAGAAAACGGCATGATCGTCGAACAGGTTGATGTCCGAAAAGAGGAACGGGAACGCCGTCGCGAGGAGAAACGCGAGCGAGAACGAGAGCGCAGTCGGGCTCGTAAATCATCCCGTGGTTCTGGTGGTGACCGTAATGGAGAACGCAATGGAGAGGTGATGTCGATGTATTCCGCCAACAGTCCGCTTCCCTACCAAACAGATAGCGGATTTTACACCGCTTCGAACGGCTCTGGTCCTATCCTTGCTCGGGAGCGCGACCGACCGATGTCGCTTTCGCAATCGAGTACACGCGCGATGAGTGTTCTTACCGCTCCGCAACCTCTGACGCCACCCCCAGGCTCGGCGCCTGGTTCCGTTCGCCCACCGAACACACGGGTGCATTCGCAGATTTCGCTCGTGGATTCTCAGAGCATTAGTTCGGCTAGCATGAGCGCAAATCGCCGCTCGAAGTTCTTCGCTTTCCGCAATTGGAGTGAAGCTTGGAAAAGTAGGGATAGTTTCGCTCCGTCCGGGATTATGTCACTTTCGGGTAGTATGATGGATATGCAGTAAGTTTCTAAGTTCTTTCTTTCTATTCATTTAGAAGTTTTTTGGTCTCTTTCTTCTACATGACTGATTTGATGTGTTTCGTTTGCTTATCGTGGTTTTTTCGTTTAGCTTGGCGCTTGACCAGGAGAAGCAGGCCATGCAGATGCGGCCGCCTACCGTCGACCTTGGAAGCAACGCACCATCCATCCGCCATAGTCAAATCTTCCCTCGACGTGCCTCCGTATCCGGTGATCGCGACGTCGAACCGCGTGGAATTGAGCGACCAAAGAAAAAGAAGGGCCTTGCTAAGATCTGGGGCCTCGTCAAGGGCAATAGGGGCGCGAAGAACGAGGTACAGCGTGGGCGGGAGGCGCCGCCCGTCGAACGGCCCGAAGATGACACGCCGCTTGCGCCACCTCCGCCACTATCGTATCTTGTCAATAGGACGTCGCGAGAACGTTCGATGTCGAATGCGTCGAGACGTACATCGGTGCCGCCTTCTTCTGGGACTGCTGCTCCGCCGCCCACTGCCGCACTCCCTACCCCGACGTCGATTCGGAATACCTGGTTGGAGGATGCGTCGTGTTCGAGACAGATGGGTGGGATGTTACCTGCGCATACTGAGGAATCGCATAGTAATGCGAATGGATATGGTACTCCGGAGTCGGATCCACCAAAGGTCATTCAGGCTGTTTCGTCTGAGCCCGATAACATGCTCCAAAGGGGTGGACAGGACATTCCACCAGAATTGCAACCACCTGTTATCCGTGCACCGTCATCACCACGTCCTATCTCCGTCTATTCCCTCCACAAGTCACTTCCTCCCTTGCCGAATGAGATCGCGGCGTCGCAGTCTATGCCTACGCCGATCGACTCTCCGCGCCCCGTAACGATGTTCGACATGAATCCGCAAAACGTCATGGACGGCAATAATCTTAATCTTAATAACGAGGCGCTCGGTCTTGGTTCACCACAACCATATTTCAGGCGAGATATGCGGAGACAGTCGTTTGGAGGGTTGAGTTCGAGACCTGACTTACCTGCTTCGGGTGGTACGTTTCCTTTGAACGGACGGAGTAATAATAATATGCGTCCGGTACTTGGAGGACCACAAGATCCGTTTGGGTATTCTCCGTATGCGGAGATGGGGAGTACTGCCACTGCTGTACCGGCGTCACGTTCAGTTGGGAGACTTGGGTTAGGCAACTTGCAACAGGATTATCAACACCTTCACCCGGCGGCCCCGCGATGTGATAATGAGAAAGCGGCAGTGGTTGGGAAACGGAGGAGTAAGTTCGGACTGGCGAATTTACTTAGTAAAGTTACAGGCGGTGGGAGTGGGTCGCGTTCGAGTCTTGCGATGAGAGAGCGAGAGCACGATGCGAGGTTGTCGTTGGCTGTCCCGTCGCCATACGTACCTCCGGCTGTACATCCTGGACCACCGACGAGCGAGTCAGACCCTCATCAAGATGGGTCGCCTTCTGTGACGGATTACGGTGCGGGTAACGGAGGGAGTAGTCGGTCGAGGCATAATAACGCTAGTAATGGAGGAGGTTTGAGTGTGAACGGAGGAGGAGGAGGGTTAAGTGTGAATGGTTTCACAGCCCCATCGAGGATGAGTGTCGCGTCTCGCCGGGCGATTGAGGAGCTTGTGGACCAGGACCCGAAGTTCGTTGCGTATCGGTACCCGTCGGTGGATCAGAACATTTCGTTCCTTCGTTAATCATGCTTTCTTTTTGTTTCTTTGTTTTCCTTTAAGACTGTTTTTAGTTTCATGCGTCATGACGAATTTGACCTTTCATTTCTTTTGATGACGTTTCATCACTACCGAACCACACCTGTCTTCTCCCTCATCACTAGTACTCTCTCATCACATGTTCACACGCTCGTTCTTTCCTTCCTTCCCTCTTTATTGAGTCCTACGACTCATGATAACAGTTCCCTTTCCTTCCCCTCCTTTTGCTTTCTGTTTCTTTCTCCCCGGGCTAATTTTATTCAACACTTCTACTCCAAGTTTTCTTTTTTACGTTCGGGGTTTCACTACTTTTTCTCCTTTTTGTCTCTTTCTACTTCTTTCTTTCGTATAATTGACTTTGTAATTATATATTTCCTTTCTTTTCCTTTCTTTTTCTTTCTTTTCTATTAAGTTAGTATTACAACACGTCTCATCTCATCCCCACCTCACGTAACACGTATATCTTTCTTTGTTTCTTTGTTTCTTTGTTTCTTGCTCGCTATTATTAGTTAGTATTACAATTTTACATGACGAAAAACTTGCACAGCAACAAAAATACCTGTTAATGTGGAGACACTCTGTCTATCTACTTATCTGTCTAAATTGAATGACTGATTTCTGTAAGTGAAATATTTCTTTTTTTATATAATAATACCTATGTCATCTTCTTTCCCCTTAATAAATATAACACAGTCATTTCTTTGAGTTTCCTCTTGGCCTTTCTCCTGCCTTCTCTTACATTGTATCATTACACTTATTAAAAATTAAAATGCACAAAGCTCATAAATCAACTCTATGGTAGTGAATTTGTTTTGGATTTATAATTTTATATTATTAGATTTGCTATTACTGATGTGTTTGATGTAAGTACCAGAGGTGATACATAGTTTTGGTTGTTGTAATTATATGTATATGTGTAGTTAACAAGTTTATGAAAGACTGTGTTTATTTGATAAATGTGAGCCTTTTTTGAGAAGGAAGAATAAGTGTATTATTGCTGCATTTTCATTCTTAGCACATTTATATTCTTTCCAGATTTGATCTCAATCCCTGATTCTTCTTCACTGTTAGTAACATGGAATTAAAGACATTAGTACTCATCCTCCGTATTCACAGTTTTGATGTTTGGTGATTGATTAAGTATCTTGTAATCTTATTCTACCTGTTTCCTTTTTCCGCATTACTTACTATGGTTTTGAGGACTTGACTTAATGATTGCCCCAGTCAGGTAAGCAAGTTTCAATACAGCACGAATAGCTTGAGAGCACATATATATATGCACAAAGAAAATAGAAAGCAAGTCGGATTAGAAACCACTAGCGGTAACCCTCAACTGCTCCAATTTCTTCAACACCTCCCCAACCGTCCGGTCGAGTTCAACTGCAATAGCAGACTGCTTATTCGCAGGTAACCTTGCAAACTGTTCGCATAGATCACCATCTACAACAGCTTTCACTGGTACGTAATAACCCCTCCACGCAAGATGATCTCTCCCGACGAGACTGAGCTTCTCCGACCGCATGTGCTGTTCGAGCGTCGAGATGAAGTCGACATCTTCTTTAGAGACGAAAGGAACGAGGATCCCAATCGTTCCGTGTAAACAGGTGTAAAGGAGGACTTCTCGACCACCTGCGACGAGGGAGATTTTGTGTATGCTCGTTACGATGTCTCCGACGTGGAAATGCGCGATCATCCCCGTTTTATGCGGTGCGCCCATCAAAAGACCTTTTTCGTGTAGGATACCTGCACCAGTGGGGTCCTCATCTACTTGGTCAGAGATTTTGGAATCCAGTCGGTTGATGAATACGTTCCCGAATTTATCACCCGCCGCGATGGTCGTGTAGTCTACCATTACGGCAGAAGTCGTCCACCGTGGTTGGGAGTCGTCTGCGAAGATGAGAAGTCGGTTTTCGGGTGGTTTGAATACTGCGTAGACGATGGATTCTTGCATGTCGCCGACGATTATGCGCGAACCTTGGGTGTTTAGGGTGACGATTGCGGAGCCGTAGGTCTAAATCGATGTGTTAAGATTGATTGCATTACCGTTAAAAAAATGAATACGGACCTTTGTTTCGACTTTTCGTAAGAGCTTCTTTTTACCAATTTCATAGATACGAAGTGACTTCCCGACTCCTGCGCAAAGCCGACCCTGGAAGGCCATTAATGCCATAGGAACATCGTCTGCCTCGGTCTTCAAAGAATGTAAGGATACGTCTCAAGAAACTTTTTGCTGTGAAAACATACCTTATGTACCAACTCCAAATCAGCGCCACCATTCGTAAACGCATACGTGCGAATGAACCCGCTAGAGCACGACCGCGGTGCCAAGAACGTTGACGATGCAGTCCCGACACACAGGAATAACTCGCTGTTCCTCGCTGCGAAAGGTACGATAGCAATCGAAAACGCGGCCTCGTTATTATCGAGATGAACCACTTTCACGGTAGCTTTGTTGATAGGATCAAGAATCCTGATACATGAACCCCATGTGCCTGCGGGTGCTTTTGGTCGGCCGAACACCTCTGGTGGTAGGTCAACGACCTCCTGGTCGTATTTGACACCTCTCTGACGCTATTGTACAATTAGCAGACGATTGAAATTTGTATAGTATTGCACCTACAAGTTCGGCTAATTTTTCTTTTGCAGCGTCGTCGCCCATAACCCGATGATCTGCCTCGATCATATAGAAATATTGGTTCATCGGGTGGGGAATGAATTTTCGCGGAGTGTATGTCAAAGGCATCGAATCCTGTTTGAGTTTCGTACCTAACCGGGGGATCTGGAAAATACTAAAGACATTATCAGCAAACTACCAAAATAACATCGGCGGTAAATAGTATGACAAGCTCAGTAGGAACAATTGGTGTAATTAAAAAAATTTCGACATATGCCTTTGGCATCGCGATCCCTAGATCTCATCTTTGAGGAAGCATAGGCAGAACGAGATACTTACCGAAGTACACTTCCAGAGATACCGATAAGACCTTCAGGACAGAGCTCGGCGGAGAACTCCCACGCGTGATCTAACGTCTCGAAGATTAACGGTGTAAAATGTAAGAGGCCTTGATGCGTATAGTTGAGCCATGAACGTGATGATAATGCCAAGATGGATGAATTGCGTTGTACTTGGACTCGCATAAGTTTCACTGGTCGAGTACCCAAGAACCTGATAGCCATAAGTAAATCGGTGCCCAGCTCATAGAAGTATTCGCATGACTGACCTCGTCCGAGTATCCGTTAACTGGCCATTAACCGGATCGAGCACAGTTCGCAACAGTACACCATTCTGCAGGCCAATGTTCACGAACATCGTCGGTTGGTTCTTGTCGATACTCGAGTCTAACATATCCGCGATGCAAATAGCTGACGGAGGAGCCGTAAGAGCTTGCAAACTAATCGTCTCCAATGTGCTTTCAGGGTCCAACGACACGATTCGCACTGTTTGGTCTTCGCAACCGACTGCTAGGTACGGAGTCCTCTGCCTACCAGGCGGGACTTCTCCGACACTGAGAGCAAGTACGGTACTTCCCATGGCTTTACGATCTTGGTACTCATTCAGCTGGCCCTCCAAATCAAGTTCGAAATAGACGAGCTCTGCCGAGCTTAGAGCCACTACTACTTGCCGTTTGTTCGTCGTAGCGGCAACGATTGTCCTACCTTGCGGAACTCGCCATTCGTTAACACGACGGTCAGCAAGGACGTGTCGAATACCCTGCGGATGGACCTGAAGTAGTGCATCTGACCCGATCTGCTGGACGGCGAGTGTTGGAGCAGATGAAAGGAAACCAGTATCCTGGACTTCCTCAATCGTTTCTCCAATGGACAGGACGAGTGTACCGTTAACGAAGGACAGGATGATATAAGAGTCATAAGGATCGTCTTCCTTGATACGTGTAGTCCACACAGCATTGGGAATACCAGGAAGGTCCGAGCTGACGACTTCCTCTACCTCAAGACCATGACGAAGTGTACGGAACGATGACCGAGCTCCTCGTCCACAAGCGGCGAAGATTTGCGGGGTGTCGCTATTTGGTAGGATGTTCATGACTTTTGAGTCGATAATTGGGTCTAGCGATTCGATCTCGTCAGCAAGTACGAGATTATCTAGAGGTCGAGGCTTGAAGTATGCAGCCGGTAAAGGTACTGTGGGGTCAGCCATGCCGAAATTGGGGTAGTCCGTGGAAGAAAATTCGGGCTCGTTGTCATCGTCACCGAGCTTTTGGAATTGATAGAGATGACTTTCAAAGAAATGTGTGAACATTGAACAGAACAAACTGTGTTGGGGAACGTACTGATTGCCAAACTCCGAGGCAACGAAGAGGAAACCAGACTTCAAGATACACAGACTAGATGCGACGGGCACTGTGTCGAAGTACTTTATTTTTAACGCCCTGACATCCTCATCCTCGTGGTCAATCGTCACTTTATACAAGTCACCTTCCTCACTCTGAAGAAGGAAGAAGAATGCACCCTAGAATCAAAGGTCAGTGAGTAAGCGAGAGGAATTATTTGATATGATTCGAACCTTCATCTTGTGCATGACAGCAGAAACGATGATTAAACCTCGTTCCTTGTCTTCTAATGGATGTCGACGCCGAGGGATGGGAACACGATGTTGAGGTGAGTCCATATTCCGGTAGATGATATGGTCTTCACAACAGACCAGAACACCCGACGGACCATCGAACCGATCAGACGTCGCTAGTTGACCACCAGGCACTTGAACGAGAAGATTGGCGCGCGGATCTGTAGGTTCACTCCATTTGCGGACAACGTGGTTCAATCCAAGATCGAGTTCGTAGAAAGTAAGAAGCTAAACCACAAGCTATTAGGACATATACTTAATGAATAAAGGACAACCATCTCACCTTTTCCGCGTTATTAAAAGCTTCGCCCGTTGGATCTTGGTCAGACTCCGTGTAATCAACCTCAAGCGCCGCATACAAAGGATTTTCGAATCCCACATCGACACCAACGATATGATGAATTATTGCTGCATTCTTGTGCGCCTCCAACGGGGAAGAGATAGTCAAGTTGGCTGCAGCGTCACGATTGAGAATATAGACGAGTTTGGCCTTCTCCATTGCCGAAATCATGACACTACGTCCCTTCGGGTCAGTCGCAAGGTACTGTCCTGGAACAATTCTCCGAGCGCCAGACTTTCCATACGTCTCCTGGTGTAGCTTGATAAAACTACTCGTTTTGGGATCATACTCGAGAATAACAATTCTTCCAGAATCAGAGCCTAAGATGGCATAATCTAAGAAAAAGGCAGAGCGTAAATCGAGGAGAATACAGACTGAGATACGCACACAAAGCTCACCCTTCGTCCCACCCGTCAATCTGAATGCAGCCAATGAACGAATGGAGCCAAATGCATCATTGGCAATTACCGTTGAAATCTTACCCGTCTGCACGTCTGGTCGGAGTAATTCGAGACGCGACCCATGTGAGACGATGATTTCTTGCTGGCGAGCGCCAGAGAAGTTACCGACTATAGCATGCGTCGCCGCTGTTGGCGGTTGTAAGGTGAGATTGTACAGGTACATGGCCAACGATGGGCGTACGCGTCAAGCCCTGACGGTACTGGCGCAAGTAGACTTTCGTTTCGGTTGAGTTGTTGAGTTCAAGAAAAGAATAGTGCGTGATCAACGTTTTCCCACGACTACAAACAAACCATTTGACGAGTTTGTAATACAATAGCTGGTGCCTCTTAAGAGGGGGAATCCATTCCATTTGATCCCGCAGAGCAAACACAGCAGGCCTATAATCAGTGAAAAATCAAAAAAAAAGGGAACTAATTTTGTTTATACGGTTGCATTGCGGCAGGAACACGAAACGAAACCTCAATAAAATGCCATACAGAACGAAAGCAAGGTACAATACAGAAATACAACACAAGAAGGGATCAAGTAGCAGATACCTCAGCAGGAGCTGATCCAAAGCTAGCCATAGACACATCGCCTCCCGACTCGCCTGTCTCTGTCCGCTCGCGTTGTCGAGCCGCTGCGCGGCGCTCTTCGGATTTTGCTGTGAGTTCTTCAACTTCCTTCTCTAATTTGGCCTAACCAAAGAATATCGTTAACTCGGCAGATGAAATCGCGGGTTCGAATAATATGCTTACGATTTTTTCCTTCATCTCGTCCTCATTGAAACAGGAGTAGGGATTTTCTGGTTCTTTCGGCTTCTTGTCACCTGGCGAAAAAAGGCAAGTATTATTACAGGTTTTGTAGTGGCGTAGGTGGCTTGAGAAGCGTACCAAAGGCAGCATACATGAAAACCTCGTTCATGTAATCATGGTTCCGCTTATAGCGAGCTAAGGCGAGAGAACGCGTCGAGACGTGATCATACTCATCTAAATGGTCCTAATCAATATCAAAGACGGGAAGAATTTTAAGTTACGGACCTCCAGAGTCGTCGTCGTGAGCCGCAGCTTGCTGCTTCAACATGGGAGTAAATAGGAGGTCAGTGCGCCGGAGAAACAGGTGAGGAGATGTGCAAAGTGAAATACGTCCAAACGCGCAAAGTAGTCGATTAAAATTAGATAGAGGACTTACGGCATGGCCAGGCATTCCTGTGGCCCGTTCACGAACTTGTCTTCGTTCAAGAGCCTCCATTTCTCGATTTTGGTGCGCGAGCATTGCAGCTTGGTGTTGCATTCCTCCGCCCATGCCTACCATTCCCGGCATCCCGGCAGGAGCACCCATAGCTTGAGCAGGATGCCCCGCTTGCATAGCACGTTGGGGAGGCATGACCTTTTGACCCGTCTTCTCTCCTAATACGAACATAGCAGGCTCGTTGACTGGTCGCAAGGGATACTGTCGAACAGGTTGGCCGCGAAGGGTAGGTATGATTGCTGGAAAGCAGAGTGGCGATGTCGGAAGTTAGTTCAAATCTGACTAACAGAGACGCATTTCGGATTACGCACGCATGGATTGTCCAGCAAAATAATGCACCAGATAGAGTTGTGGACTACCTCCTCTCACTAACCGGAATCGTCGTCGAACACGGTACGCAGCAGTGTCTGTTGAATCCGGAATAAAACCATACTTGATCTCACAAACTTCGAGTTCCTTCATGTGTCATATTTGCTTTAGCATCACATATTTTAACGTTCCAACATAGCCGTTTTGCTTACCCGACCTCCACCAGCTGGTATTGTATACCGATTCTCCTGCTCTTGGTAACGAATGCCGTCGTTTGGGAATGATCGTTGTTGTACCATCAAATATATTATATATAAGCTTCCGTCTTGAGGCCTGTCTATGTATAACCACTGAAACGGGACTCCCATTGCTAGCTGGTGTGCCTTGACCAGATACTGTACTGCAGCTTCATAGGTCACTTGTGGATGGGCACCAAGAGGCTCCGGATATCGCAGACAGAGTTCCGTCTGAGAGCAATAGTTTCTTGAGTTAACACCACCACGAATGATATAATGCAAGGCTCACAAGAAGAGATGCCCCGCTGTTTGCTTGCATCGTGAATAAATTGTGCACACGACGCGCTCGCGCTTCGGTTGATGATTCTGAACCGCGTCAAACGATGAAGGATCTGAAGGGTAGTGATATATTTGGAAATTAACTCTCATGGCCACTCATAATAATCACGTGGTCTCTTCCAGACCAAAAGCGTCCACCGCCCTAAGCTACTCCGAAGTCCAGACATCCTTCCGTCTTCCCGCCACCAAGGACTAGACTCAGTCTCAGGATGCTATCATCAAACTGCATCACACGAATGTGACTCAAATATCCGAATAACTTGTACCACCAGACATGGCCAACAAAGATCAACGCAGCGACCATGGGAAACCGTCGATCTATGAGTGTATCCCTCCAGAATGGCTCCCAAAGACTTCAAACTCTGCTGACCTTGGTTTGTCTATAATGTATCAATTCAGTTTATTTATTTGTCTAAAGATGTAGTCCAGGATTTATAAACTTCTTCCCTCCGAGGCCCTCCGAGGATGCAGAGGTGCTTACGGAGGCAAATATCAAACATGGATTTGTGCTCAAGAACGCGATTCCTGTATGTCCTAGCATAATATTACAAGACTTATGGGCATTATTCATTTGATGATAGGCAGAAACATATACTGCCAAGACCAGGCAGATCAAGGAACTCAAGGAAGGCGATTTGGTCCATGAGTTGGAAGACTTTATGAACCAGATTTTCCAACGACGCGCGGAAAACTTAGCTCAGATTCCGTTCGTCTTCACAAATTTCAATTTTTTGTCTTGAATAAATTTACGTGCTTCCAGATCATCTACCTTCCGAATACCCTCTCGAGCTACGTTGAATGAGACAAAAAGAAAAGCATGGTTCAGCGATCTCGCAAATCCTGACGTTCCTCTGTACAAACTCAGCAAGAGCATACCGCATGGTGTTAGAGGAAATGACCTGCTGGATACGCTTCACGTAAATAATGTTGCGATCCCGAGAGCGGTGTGGTTTGTTAGGGTATTCGGAAACAACGAGACGGTAAAATCTTTCTTGAATGTTTCTGACGCCGTATTACTGATTGTTTAGTTAGGCTGGATTGCGAAACAAGCCAAATTATAACCCGATGCAATACAGCGTTGAATGGGCGAATGTCATGACCGGCTATCTCAAGAAGCAGTTGTTCGAGATCGCGCTACCGAGCGCACCGAGGCCAGGTCTAAATATCAAGCAAACTTTCAAGGGTGTTCTTGGTGATCCTGAATCTCGAGAACGCTGGGTATCTAAATTCGCCTACTCGTGGGTCTCTCCTTTCCTAGGCTATTCGGAAGGGTTTGATATATCTGGACTCTAGATTAGACCTACTTCGAGCGTTCTATACGGAGTCCATGGTTGACCATACTACATTCCTTTCATGGCTTGTTCAGATAATGAGCAGCTGTAACCTCGCTCAGGCTGGCTTCATTGCTCGTCTCGCAGATGATTACTTATCTGATATGGGATCATGCCGAGCTCTTGTCAAGCCGTTCATTGACGCCTGCTTGGTAAAGCTACAAGACGTACGTACTGTGATTACCCGGCGTAAACCATGCTGACTTATCCTGAGGAATAGATTTCAAATAGTCCCTCAAAAGAAACGTTAGTCGATCTTCAAGCGCGGATTGAAAATTTGCTTCGGGTAGGTTGATATCCCTCATGAGGCTTCTGAATGGAGTACTGACCATATGCACAGCGTTCCTTCCTCGCGGCACCGACATCCTTTGTTAGCCCTTCAACATGGAAAACACACTCAGAAATCATCCGGACGGTGCTAACAGGAGATGACCCTATCTGGAGTTCTTCCGAAGGACAAACAAAACAAAACCTTCGATTGCTCATTCGCGAGACGTTATTGGATATCGAAAAACGAAACGAAGCCATGTTATTCAGATCAAGTGCCCAGCAAGCAAGTGGATCACTTCGATCAATGGTCTCAGACGTCAAGGTCAGATTTCCTTTCCTTAGTCAAGACACTCGACTTATTTCTCATTCATAATGTCAGCTCCTGAATGCTATCTCAAGCACGACGGAATTAAGTTCTGTTACGTACTTTGATCCGCGTAACGAGAATCAGTCTGTGAACTTCTCCCAAAAGCTTTTCCTACTTCTTTCCTGGAGCGTTTGCTACTTACAATATGGAGATCACCGTCCATACGCGGCAGCCACCCTGCTGCGCCATTGGCGCGACAAGGCCGAGGAGCGCGCTTGTAGACGTGATATCGCTCCACCTAACGAACTGATTCAGGATGGTTTGTTCGACTGGTTGGACAGAGACGAAAAGGCTCGCGACGAACGTAATCAGTCTATGGTTTCCCTATTATTCGGGGAGTTGATCCAGAAAGGGCTGTTTTCTTATGATCAATACATCCAGAGGATAATCGCAAGAGGAGAAACGGGCCTGTCGTTCAATGAGGTTAGTGAAAAATATGCATTTTCGAAGTGATTCCTGAGACGTTAGTCAAGGAACACGGATCATGTCACAGAATGTTTCTTCGAGTCATTCCCTTGTATAGGTCAGACCCGGCCCTTGTTAGTCAGCGAAAGTTAGCACTGTATGGCGTGAGAGCGCGTACCATTCCGGAAGATCAAGTCGAGAGAGATTTGAAGAACCAGCTTATCGAGATTCTTCCAGAAGTATTCAAAGGTTCGTGAGCGGACTCATGGCATTAAGGCATACCTCACATTTGCTTTCCAGGAGAGGCAGCTCCGATGCCAAAATCGTCACTCCCCTCTGATTCTGTTCTGCGTAATGCAGTGCGTTACGAACAGATACGAGTCGTCAAACAATGGTTCATGCCGAATGTTCGGAAGTTTCTCATGAGGTAGGTCGATCTCTAGTTATTTATATGCTAGATTCTAAAGAGGACGTCAGCACAATCGCACAGATGCCCGAAGACTCGAACACCGTTCTTCGAGTTTATTGCGTCGTTATCGAATGTTTGGACGTCATGCGTTGTTACAGGACTGCTCTAGAGGTATGGTGTCAAAACTTGACTTTATTGAAGTATCTGACGTCCTTCGTAGTTTACTTTGGACGTCCTCAAGATGACGACAACAACCGATCTCCTGCTAGCCATTGTTGATTACCTTAGGCGTGGCCTTCTGTTATGGGTCTGCATGGATGTCATGTCTGCAATTGCTTCAGCCTTGCTAGACGCTCACCAAACATGGAAAGCACGGGGAATTCATATCAGGTGCCTTGTTAACCTTCTTCTGGACGTGGATGATGGAAAGTACCTTGACTGCGTCTCTCGTCAACATGTCATAGAGGAGGCGGGTCACTACGCTCAGGTATGTGAACCCTCCCCGCGTAGTCGTCGAGACCTGAAAAATTGCAGGTTCTTTGTCCTGTGGACGAAACTGCAGGTCTCGTGCCACAGGATTTACCTGAGGTATCTCTGCTGTTACAAGACCAGAATCCAGACACGCCATCTAGTCTCGCCAATTCACTCTGGTATAAATATCGTGCATCGGCAGATTGGGCTTATGTTGTCTGGGTCAACGCTGTTGGACATCTTAAGCTGATCCCGACCACGATCTCAGATGTCTCTGAACAGCGTGTATATGCCCTTCGGTTTGCTAGCTTCCTTCTGCACGTCGATTTGCATTCAGCCGACGGTATTGATGGTCATATACTGGAATGGTTTGCCGGTCCTGGACTTGACGAAGTCAAACCTCTATCATACGAGTCCTGGAACGTCATCAACATTGTTTTACTGCATCTTGCAGTTCATGGTGCTGTCAAGATTGCAACTCTTTTGCATGGCATCGTCTATCCAGCATGGAAAATAGGTTCTTTGATAGAAAGTCAGGAGCAATTCGAAGAAAACCAAGTTTTCTTACGCGCGGCGAACACTTTATGTCGTCTCTTACTTGTCGAACAGATCACTGTCTCAGAAAATGACCTTCCTCCATCCGACCTGATGGAAATGCAAAGACTCAAGACCAGACGAAGAGACGTCTACGCCGATGGGAACTTTCAAATTCTCGTTGAGAACGTTCCGGCTTTAGTCTTCATTGAACACAATGAACATGTCGAGGATACATTCCGGGATCAGGTGGCTGAACTTCGCTGCTCACTATTTTGCAAGGACAATTTCAGACTTGGAGCAGCACGAAACGTTGGTACAGTCGTTGGAGCCTTCGCGAACCCTTTGTACCCCAAAGCACTTCAAGAGAGTATGCACGACCCACTAATACGGGCCTTGCGGCTCATCTTCAACGACGAGGAAGGCGATGACCGGACGCACGTAACTTCTCTTCTGAGTCCATGGAAGCTGTCTGCAACCGCAGCTATCACTTCCTTTGTGCTCCAGCAAATCGGTCAGCGATTGGAGAATCCGTCTACGCAGGAGCAAGCAAAGGTCGAACTGGCTAAGCTTGCAAGCAGGCTGATGCAGAATTCGGTAACGTCACAAGAGGCCGAGTTCGTCTCTGAGATGGCCAAGGGAGTGAGTGGTGATGTCGCAGGAGCGGTTCGTTATTTAACTTCAATATCCATTGAAGTAGACTCATCTCATTCCTAGTTTGTTAATAACGGTCTCCGGCGCATCGCGAGGATTTTTAGTGAAATAAATATCGACGAACCGGAAGTGTTAGCGACTCTTCCCGCGAAGGCGGGTCATTTTCTCAACCTTCTAAGCACGATTATGCAACCGTTCCGGCACTCATCCATGCCGCTCCCGTCGCTCGATCAGGAAATCCAGGATTCCCTGGTTGCGAGCCTGTCGACCAAGCTGTCGGATCTTGAAGCAGTGATCCGTAACCGAATTCAAGATGACAAGGAGAGACACCGAGTTTCCGCCTTGCTTACCGATGCGGTTCTCTTCTTAGCCAGGTTGCTTCAATTTGACCTCGGATTTCCAGGAGCCTGGACAAAGACGATGAAAGATGCAGCTAGCCGGATCACGGAGACCATGCTCCGACTTGCTATTACCTATGGAAGTCCTTTGACAAACCCCGTTGCGTTCACCTTGTTGCTCGACACTGCATGTTATATCTTTGATGGTGAGTCGAGTCAAGCAAGGTTACAAATAGTACTTAACTACGAATAGAGCAACCGATGGACCCACGTCATTCTGGTGACCTGTTTCAGCATTGTCCATCAACAGATAGTCTGTTGACCTCAGAGAATCTACCCACGGAATTTCATAATCTTGTCAGAACACTTGACAAGCACGCTCCGCAATATTCACTCACCTCTGACTTGGTATACGTGTCGAAGGACGCGGATGGAAACCTTCAGTACGGCTCGCCAGTACATATGAGGCCATGGGAATGGATCGAAAGTCTGGGAGATCCTCCACTGACTGATACGAAAGATATTCAAAAGGAAGCAGAAGAGAAAGAACGCCGAGGGTCTCGGTATCTTATACGGAACAATACTAGCATACCTCTTGAGATGTTTGGGGCACGAGTAGTAGGCGAGGGCGTTCGTCATCTTGATGCCAATTCCACAGAACCGAAAAGCAGAAGTGTTGAAGAACTTCGAAATATCTTTGAGGATGACATTGCCGCGGAAAGTAGTTATGAGCGAGACTGGAGGGAAAGTCGAGTCGGCCTAGTCGGCTTAGGCGAACTGGCTGAAGGCAGTCGGTCTCGTGGAGAGGCAGACGGTGCACTAGAACATGCACACCGGAGGGGGACTCCGAGTTCGCGTCATGGATCCCCGTCGCTATCGGTACATACGAGTCATGGAGCAAGCACCTCCGCCGCTGGGCCATCATCGGCAGCGTCTTCCCTGCGCCGTACGCAGAGTCCAGCACTAACAGGGAAAGGTGAAGCCATGGAGGTCGATCCTCCGCCATCCGCCGGTGGAAGCATGACTGGAAAACGAAAAGCATCGTCAGCAGGACTTGAAGACGGAGAGCTCGATTCTATTGCAGACGGCAGTTTGAATAAGGGAAGGGGTAAAGCCACTGCTGAGAAGGGTGTTTCTTCGAAGATTTTGGGGAGATCGACCAAGAAGAAAAGATGAAAATGTTTGGAGCGTTGATCTTAAATCGCATATTGAATTTCATTCAGTCAGTCTTATACTGAGTTTTACTAGTATATCATTTTGTTGCATCATGATCAGGTCAGTTTACTCAACCTGTAAATGGCTATACAACTGTTGGCAATGTATAATATCATCTGCAGTGTAGGTACTAGTAGTAACTAGGTGACTTCAATTAATTGGCAGGAGCACTTGCAGGACAGTTGGAAATTTTTGGGGTGGCTCAGCAAAGTGGACATACCTTAATATATACCAAATAGAGATGTAAATCTGTGCAACTCTCTGCAAGTGTCTGCAAGTAGCCCATCTCAATTCTGTTGCAAGTTGCAAGTTGTGAGGAAGCTTGGCTTTGTAGAGGACCCTGGTAAGGTTGATGCCAAGTTTCGGATTTCCTCACAACTAGGAAGAATTGAGATGATTGACTTGTGAATTTTGTGTTGATCAGATTTCTTGTGATTTGAGTGGACAAACAAGTAAGGGATACAAGAAACATCATTTTATTTCAAAGTCCAACAACTCACAAGCACTCCAGAGTGCTTGTGAGTTGTTGTACATTTGACTACTACTTTAGGCAAGCACACAACCCAATCCCCATCTTAACCACCTGATTTTCATCTCAGCACTTTGGCATTTTTGGCATATTTCTTACATACTGTGCACAACTCACAACTTGCAAGAGAATTGAGATGGGCTAATGCTTGAACCCACTTGTTGGCACTTGCAGATGCATTGGAGTTTAAAATAAAGAAATGTCTGACTACCACCCAACAAAATTCATGAGTAATGTGACATGGGCATTAAATGTCAATCTCTGCAAGTCCAGCTCTTCAATTTTGGGAGACTTGCATAACTCTTGGCATCTTACTCTAAATTGCCAAAGCCCTTCTGCAAGTCTCTCTGCCAATTAATTGAAGTTGCCTAGTATAACTGTTGCTGACTCCTGTTTCAACCATTGGCACAGTTCTGAACTTTTAATCCTACATTCATTCACATACCTTCTTTCAAATTAATTCGATTATCAACTATTCCCTTCACTTCAACATCAAAATGCACAAAAACTATAGGAACTAGTTCAACTGACAAGAGGCAATAATGCAGACTATTACATTTGCTAGACTTGTAGAGGTCCCTAATGCCTCCTACCTGGGACATCATGCACAAAGTGTTATAAAAGTGCATCTAAGTATAATTGATACTTTCTTTAGGGACCAAGCAGGTCAATTTGTAGAGAAGAGGAACTTGCAAATTAATAATAGTCAAATTATTGTCAGGACTCAGGTAAGATGACATGCATTAAGTAATCCATATTTGCACATATTTGGACTCGAGTAATGAGAACATCAATCAAGTTTGTTTTGCCTTAACTCCCATCACATTATTATTCGTCATGGCCAGTGCAGCGAACAGCGCCCGACTTCTACTATCCACAGTGTTGTGCCCATTCTTACTAGCGTGCTGTTCCCCATCCCAGACACGTAGAGTCGAGTGACGAAAACGGTTTGCCCATCTTCTGACGGTCCTCAGAGGTCACTATTTCGTTGACCACTTATAAGACAGAACACACATCGATGGGAAAGCTTGTTGGTCTTTTCAAGGACTTATTGTGTGAAAAACATTGCGGTGAAAACTCGGATGAGTTTCCACTTCCACACAGCACCTCTCAGCCAGGTATGATATTGTTCTTTTTGCTACGGAAATTGCCTTTTGACCCATTTTGCTGCCAAAGCAGGGTATTTACGAGGCTGGAAACAGGTGCTGCTACGACGTTTTTTCAACATTCTCCTGAGGATCATGTGCCTTGACGGTTCTCGAATATTTCACCACATGGCCCTTGTATATTGGACACGTTTCAAGCAATCAGGTGAACGGGAAAAGCTCGACTCGTCCATCAATTACGATCGTGTTGCTCTGGATCTTCGTCCTAAAGGACATCCCTATCGATCCGATGCACTCTGCAACCTTGCTATTTCTCTTCGTGTGCGATACAAGCAATGGGGCCAAACGGAAGACCTAGAAGAAGCCATCAACCTCGAGCGAGCCGCCCTGGTACTGCGCCCCGTGGGCCATGCCGATCGTCCTACCTCTTTGAACAACCTTGCAGTCTCACTGCACACTCGATTTGATGAGAATGGAAGGACAGAAGACCTCGAAGAGGCAATCAACTTGAACCGAGCCGCCCTAGAGCTCCGACCTGAAGGCCATCCTGGTCGTTTTATGTCTCTGGGCAATCTTGCGAGTTCCCTACACACCCGGTTTTCGCAATGTGGAAGAAACGAGGACCTTGAGGATGCAGTGAGGCTGTTCCGGGGTGCCATAGAACTGTGTCCCGAGAGTCACCCTGGTCGTTCTACGACCCTCAGCATGCTCGCATATTCGCTACACACCCGATTCTCGCAGCACGGGGCGATTAGTGACCTTGAGGAGTCCGTAGAATTAGAGCGAGCAGCCTTAGAACTTCGCATCAAGGGTCATTCTGATCGATCTATGTCTCTGAATAATCTTTCGGTTTTCCTAGACACTCGATTCTCGCAATTTAGAAGGCTAGAGGATCTTGAAGAGGCTATCGAGTTGAAGCGAGCTGCCCTGGAACTCCTCCCAGAAGGCCATCCTCTTACTTCTATGTGTCTGAACAACCTTGCTGATTCCCTGCACTCCCAGTATCAGCAGCGTGGAGCGATTAAGGACCTTGAGGAAGCAATCGAACTGAACCGAACTGCTCTCAAGCTTCGCCCCGCGGGTCACCCTGATCGTTTTATGTCTTTAGGAAACCTTGCGTATTCCCTGCATACTCGATTCTCGCAGTTCGGAAAGACTGAAGACCTTGAGGAGGCCATCGTGCTAGAGCGAGCGACCGTGGATCTTTGCCCCGAAGGTCATCTCCATCGATGTACATCTCTGAGCAACCTTGCAGCTTTCCTGCAGACTCGATTCATGCACAATGGAAGGACAGAGGACCTCAATGAAGCTGTTGAGTTGCACCGAGCCACCCTGGAACTGCGACCAAAAGGCCATCCTGATCGTTTTATGTCGCTGGATAATCTTGCACATTCTTTGCACACTCGATTCTTCCAATATGAAAGGGTCGAAGACCTCCATGAGGTTATTGAATTGGAGCGAGCCGCCCTGGAGGTCTGCCCCAAAGACCATATTCTTCGGTCTCTATCTCTGAACAACATTGCAGATTCTCTACACACTCGATACTTGCAGCACAGAAAGACCGAGGACCTCGAGGAGGCAATCGAGTTGAACCGATCCGCCTTCGAGCTTTACCCCGAAGACCATTCCGATCGTTCTTTGTCTCTAAGCAATCTTGCAAATACCCTGCGCACTCGATTCGAGGAAAAAGGAGAGGTTGGGGATATTGAGGAGACAGTTCGACTGGACCGAGCCGCCTTGGAGCTCCGCCCGGAAGGCCATACTCTTCGTTCCGCTTCACTAGAAAACCTCGCGAATTCCTTATATGCTAAAACTAAGCGACAATGGCGCACGGAGGACTTCGAGGAATGTATGCAATTACTGGAACTTGCAACTACTCACAAATTCTCGCGATGAATAGAGCGATTATCTGCTGCACGGCGATGGGCAGGGCTTGCAAGAACGCACGATCATGGGACTGGATTCGCGGCATACAAAGCAATAATGTCATTGCTTCAACTTGCTCTCACCATGAATCCAACTCTGCGTGGACAACACGACCTCCTTCTCAGAATCAGCGACTACAGAATGCTCGCATTGGAGGCGGCCTCCTACGCAATAGAGAAAGATAACTTGGAAAACACTGTTGAGATTCTTGAGCAAGGCAGGGGCTTGCTCTGGGCGCAGTTGCGCGGTTTTAGGACTCCTCTGGATCGACTTGCTGAAACAAATGAAGAACTAGTCGACAGATTCAGGAGAGTTAGTCGTCAATTGGAGAACCTTGCAACGTCGCACGAAGCATCAACGTTTGGATCAACCATGAGTAGAAGAGGGTCCCTTGCCCCGGACATGCAAACTGTACTGAAGTCATTTGACGAGCAGCTGAAGTTAAAGAGACAACTCTCAGATGAACAAGAAGGGATTATCGGTAAAATTCGACGAGTTCCAGGGTTCGAGAGTTTCCTTGCTACGACGCCATTTGAAGAACTGAAGCGCGCGGCTTCAGAGGGTCCGGTTATCATAGTCAACCACTCTAAATATCGTTCCGATGCCCTCATTATCCACTCCAGCGATAACCCAACGGTTACTTGTATTCCGATAGATGAGAAGTTCTACGAGGAAAGCATTGCTTTGTGCGATGAGCTCGTAGAAACACGCCGCCGACTTAGTCCTGATTCGCTGGAATATGACGAGAAGCTCCGCGAAGCAATGAAGACGCTATGGTACAGAGTCGCCTCCAAAGTCGTCGTCAAACTGAAGGAGCTCGGGATTGCCGAAGGAAGTCGTATTTGGTGGTGTCCGACTTCGATGTTGTCTGTCCTGCCTTTCCACGCCGCGGGACCATTTGAGGATGGTGTGGCACTGAGATACTTATGTGATTATTATGTCTCCTCGTATACTCCGACACTCGGAGCCCTCATCAACGCGCGAATAGGCGGTCACGAAGACGAACCAACAGTGCTTGTCATCGGAGACGTCTCACTCCGGTCAGCTAAGCAGGAGATTTCGAATATCCGAAATTGTGGGGTGAGCACCAAGTTGCTTGTCAACAAGACAGTGTCTCGTGAGGCAGTGATCAGAGCGCTCCAGGAAACGACATGGGTTCACTTTGTTTGCCATGGGCATCTAGACGCGGTGCCCTTCAATTCTTCGTTCAACCTGTCTGGAGGCGAGCTAACATTACTCGATATCGTCCAAGCTAATCTCCCGACTGCGGAATTTGCATTTCTCTCCGCCTGCCATACTGCCGAACAACCCCACGACGACGCGCACGATGAGGTCCTTCACCTCGCCGCGGCAATGCAATTTTCCGGTTTTCGGAGTGTGATTGGTTCGATGTGGGAACTTCTTGACGAGGATGGACCTGCATTTGCGAGGACTGTTTATGAGTACATGAACGACTGCGAAGAGGGTGAAGTGAAGTACAAAAGGGCGGCTGAGGGACTTCGGAAAGCGGCTCTCAACTTGAAATCGCGGAACGGGATTCGGGCCGAGCGATGGGTCAATCTCGTGCATATAGGTGCATGAACGATCATGATATATTACAAGTCTTGTACTCTATACTTTCTATATTTCTCTTATGTTTGTCTAGCGAAATGGCAATGCCAGCCAATTTTATCACGACGCGAAGCTGAAAGATAATTAAAAAACCTCAAATGTGCTCATCCTTCTATTAGGTGAATCACTATTAAAACAATACCATCCTGATAAACAATCCTGCTGTGTGACTAACGTTGAATTGACAACAAGGATTATCTAGTGGGACTGGCAAGAGCACGTGTTCTCTCATTTTCGGCTTGGCTCGTCAAGAAGACGTTACCCGAGCTTGATAACAGATAAGGTCTCTTATCAACCAACTCTTTCTAATCCAAGTTGCTCTGCTTGTTACTATCTTCAACGAGCCTCTTCTCTGCACTGTGTGTGATGGTTAAGTTTCAGGCGCATAATAATATATAACTGATTGTACGTCGCAAGACTCAAGTCCAGATGCCACGCGGCGCTCGAACATGCATCTCCACTTTGATGTCGGGCGATAATCACTAAACGTACTCGGGACATGTCCGGAAAATTGTTACCACCATGGTCAAACTGTACTCCTATGCCTTCTTTCTGATGCTTCCCTATTGCACTGAGCGCCTGCCACGCGGCATGATTCGCCAATCTGTCTTTTGCAGTACGCGGAAGGATTGATCACGCGTTTAACTGTTCTATGTATACCACAATTTGCATGCGTAACCAACACTGCCGGGTGATTGTATCACGCTTTCCTGGTGGTTCTTGTATTGAAGCCGTCGCGCGGACGGACATGACGGGTCCGAGTCAGAACAGCTTCCATCTCGCACCCGCATGGTCTGCGAAGATTTAAAGATGGATGACATTTCACCCCCAATTTCTTACACCATTGCAAGCAAACCAGCTTGAACCTCGAGAAATGGCGCCGTTACGCAGTCTCGCAGTCGTTACTGGCTTAGCTCTTCTGACGTCGGCTCGACAGATCCCCACAGTCGACGGCGTGATTGGTGGTGTGCCAACTGCAACGTCCACTGTCGGTGCATCTCGCATCGTCGAAGATGTTGTACAAGTTTCTGGAACCCCAGTTCCAGGTAAAATGCGATTCATAACGAATTCTGGCGTCTGTGGTGAGTCAAGAAATATATGGTTTAGTTGTCATAAATCGGTTCTACTGACAGCCTTGACTCTCAGAAACGACGAAAGGCGTGTTTCAAGCGTCGGGCTATGCTGACCTTACGACGAACCAGAGCATGTGGCAAGTATCATGCTGCATTAAGATGAGCGTTGGTTTGTTAAATTCTTGACTTAGGTGGTGGTTCTTTGCGGCCCGGAACAATCCTGAGTCAGCTCCCCTCGCAATCTGGCTGAATGGTGGTGTATGTGTTACGCTTAATTATTCATCCAATGCATTGATTAGCGTCCAAACCAATTTAAGCCCGGATCCTCTTCCATGATCGGTCTTTTCCAAGAAAATGGAGTCAGTCTCTTTGCCAAATATTATCATTCGCGCTCTGATAGCGTGCTCCTCAGCCATGCAGAATTAATACAGACGAGAAAACGCTATCGCTAAATCCTTTCTCATGGAATAATAACGCAAATATGTAAGCTCTCTATAGGGCTTCTTGTGCGGTATAACTAAGGAGCGTCTATGCAGGCTTTACATTGATCAGCCGAGTTCGTACCTCCATTGATCATTTCAAAATAACTCCGATTAATGAGTTTCTGCAAAGTCGGTGTCGGTTACTCGCATGGAGACCTTGAGGTTTCGGGCGCGAAGCAAGCTGCAGAAGCTGTTTGGAAAATGCTCCAAATCTTCTTTTCGAATCCAACATTCTCGTCGCTGGCAAAGCGTGATTTTGCGCTTTGGACAGAGTCGTAAGAACTCGCTTATCTGATCCCATTTATAGCAATCACTAATTTCTCGGCTGCGAAAGTTATGGCGGCCATTATGGCCCCGCTTTTGCGCACTATTTCCTCGAACAGAATGACGCGATAGCCGCAGGCGCTATTTCTGGTTTTACCATCAACCTTAAGACGCTCGGCGTGGGTAACGGTCTGACAGACCCACTGAACCAGTACCCGCAATATATGGAGTATGCAGCGTCTAATCCATACGAGCAAACTGTCTCGACTAGTGTCATTACCAAAGCAAATAATTCATTCTACACTAAAGGCGGATGTCAATCACTGGTAAACATCAGCAATATCATGATATTGTATTTGTTGTGATTGACATGTAATTGACGCGTTTTCCTTTCTATTCTTTCTTAGATCGAGGGGTGCTACAACACTGCTTCGACTTCCACATGCTCGCAGGCTCAGTCGGTCTGCAATAGCAACATTCTATCACCTCTTGCGGGGAACAGAGACGTGTATGACGTACGACAGCCATCTGATGATCCATACCCTCCAGCACTTATGCCTCTCCTGTCGAGCACATCATTCATGTACGTTTCCCAATCGCAATTATCAGGTTCAAAAGACTCTGGATTTAGTCCACTTTGCTGATAATGACTCCAGGAACTCTATTGGAGCGGAATCCACGTGGCAGGAGTCAAATGGTGATGTATATGACAACTTCGCTAGAACGGGCGACTGGATGCTCAACTCCGCGCCTGATCTGGCGGCTGTCGTTGATGCTGGTGTGAGTTTCTATCTCTGGTTCGGATTGTCTATGTCGGGCTCAAAGAACGGGGGTTAGGTCCGTACGGTTATTTATGATGGCGATGCAGATTACATATGTAATTTCAAAGGTGTCGAAGCAATGGTATGCTTCATCTTCCAGTGCCTTCTACCATAATTACATCACGGTCTTACGGGTAACTCGGCCAATTTAAACAGGTCGACCACCTTCAAACTGAATTCAGCACTCTGTACCACCAAGAATCCTTCACAAACTACACCGTAGCAGGACATCCAGCTGGTCTTGTCAAGAATGCAGGAACGTTTTCGTATATTCGTGTTTTCGGCGCGGGACATGAGGTTCCTGCGTACAACTTTACGGGACTTGCGATTGGTCAGGCTGCTGCACAGTTCTTTGAACAAGCTATGAGAGGAGAGCCGTTGACTTCTACGTAAGAGGACGACCTGCTCCGATGCCATGTCAAATGTTCTACTCGGGTTTCTTTGTTAGGAAGTGTAGTACGAATGAGCCATAGGCTGTGTTAAGTACTTGCGCTACAGAGCAATGTATGATGTTAGTATGTAGAAACGCCAGCCTTGTCCCTTTATAAGGACGAGCATACCTTCGCTGTCTTGATGGCCGACCGGAATTTGAAGTATGAAATCATACATAAGGCTTTAAGTTTTCCAACGTCGAGGCAATTCATGCTAGCCGCATGTAACAAGGTTCGATGAAGGGAAGTATTCAGCCGTTACGGTTCTTTGTACACATTTGTTGAGGGTTTGAGCAAGCTTCACTGCAAGTACGTGTTTGCACTAGAACAAGAAGCCAAAGTTAGAGGCTTGCTGCAAGTATTACTTACAGACTCGCCATGATATAATCCTCAGATAATAACACTGAGAACGCGAAGGACGGACAACTGCAGTATATAGGCATATGTGGAGGAAGATCCAATTGGACGGTATACGTCGTTGTCGAACCATGTACTTCATAGAAGGAACGTCCCCAAGAGGTCTTCAAATGAGCCACTAATTCGGCATTTGCCAATGACAATGATTAATTTCAGATAAATGTAGCTCAAAATTAATTTGATGAAGTAGGACGCTGAAACGATTGGACTGAAGGAAAGGTCTGACTAACCTCGTTCGCGGTCGATTAAATCCAAAGCAGCTAGGAGTAATGTATCTGGAAATAGATGGCGAAGCTTTTGAACGTCCTCATCTGATACTAGAGATGTGTTGTGTCAAGTATTAGTGTCCCTTTGAGTTGTTCCATATGACGCGGAATTGTTTTGATTGAGTTAAGACACGAACTTGTTCCTGGGCTGGCATCAAGTTCCTCGAGAACAGCGTTCAGCAGGGCATACAGTTCGGTGGGAACCATTGGCTTGAGAGTTCTCAGTATTGTAAGAGTGGAAGTATCAAATTTATGGATACAGTTGAAGAAAGGTGAAACGAGTTCGCCTGTGCTTTCGGAACGGGCACGTGATGGCATCATCCAAATTTGAGTGGTCCAACTGCCTTTCCTTTACCTTTACATTTATGCACTGTATTCTTGACCACCTCTGAGTCTCTGACAGACGTGAAAGCAGTAATAACGCTCCCAAACAGAAAGCCTTACTCTGGTTTGCATCCATGCCCATCCGATGCATTGTGCATTTCGCACAGGTACACTCGGAGTTTCGTCTCCCCGAACTGGAATCAATTGCCGAGCTCTATGATTTCCGATTTTCTCGACCTGCTCCAGGCTCGCTGCAAGACAGCTCATCAGAAGATTGGGATCCGATGAGACCTTTTTGGGTGATGGATTTCGAAAGAGAAGAACATGCTAGATACTTAGCGGAGCGATGTATCCTTGTCAAGTAAGTTGATTCATTAGATTAATCACGTTCGAGTTCTTATTTCATCAAAACCTCTCTTACAGGTCCGTATATGAATTATACGGCCGTGGCTCATCATATGAGTCGGTATATGCGCAAACACGCGAGAACAAGCATTTATGGGTGCCCTACGCCGAAAATACATCGTTCCGGTTTACCGTAATGGGGTACAACTACAGTATTCCGCTCCGGCGTGTCAAGGAAATTGTAGAAAGCTTCAGATTCATGGACTTCCGAGGACCAATTGATTTGAAGAATCCGGAACTTACTCTATCTGTCTTCGAGGAGTGTGCGTAACATAGTGTTCTACGCATATAGCATGGTTGTCGTGAGCCGTCGTTCCTAACTATGCCATTCCCGATAGATGCGGATCGCGGCACAGCTACTGTCCGCAATAGACATGGAGGGGATGGAGAGTTTTCACAGATCTATTTTGGAAGGTTGGTGGGTCCATTCGCTACACTTCTCTCTCGTCAAAACACATGATAAATGAGGTTAACCATCATAATTATTCGTTTCGTTTCACCATAGATAGCAGAAGGCAAGGCACGAGCTCTAGTGGGAAAATTCGACGTAAAGAAGCGCGCTTACTTTGGAAACACGTCTATGGAAGCTGAGATCTCCTTGCTCATGGCGAATCAAACGCTGGTATTGAGTTTCACTACCTTGGTGATTATTGATAGATTATTAATTTGAAGCGCTTTTGAATATGTAGGCATCACCTGGAAAATTCATTTATGATCCTTTTATTGGAACGGGAAGCATGGCTTATGTGGGTCATTCATTATGATGCTCTTTTTCTTTTAGTTGTGATCCCCGTCGTTTCATTAATGAACGAATAAATAGACGGTTGCGCACTTTGGAGCGCTTGTGTTTGGTTCGGACATTGATGGCCGGCAAATGCGTGGAAAGTGTACAGGTGCTGTCTTGTCTAACAAACCCTCCATGGCTTTAATGACCGGTGCCCTGTATTCGTTTATAGATGATGAACCGGGTATATTACGTGCTGCGGCGCAATATGGCGTTGCTAATCGAGTCTTGGACCTGTGCACTTTCGATATCACGAGGAATCCATTACGGTGTGGCGGTCTTTTCGACGCCATTATCACTGATCCACCATGTATGCCCAGACCCTCATATTTTAAGACATAGGTATTGGCTTACATAACGCTGTATTAGACGGTGTGCGCGCAGGTGCGAAACGTCTAGGTAGGAAACCGACCGACAAGAAAGCCGATCGTGAGCGCAAGCCCGAATACGACGAAGCGCAGAGAAAAGGGTATGGCAGCTTCGTTTTTCGTTGTTTGTATCCTCACGGTTACGCTCAGGCTCATAGAATACGTTCCTCCGAAGCATGCATACGAACTGTCTGAGCTAGTGTCAGATCTCGTACAGTTCGCTCGATATCTGTTACGTCCAAATGGACGACTCGTATTTTTCTTGCCCACAGTCACGGATGAATATGCAGAAGTCGATGTGTACAGCATGCTCTGCGAAGGAATGGAGGTTGTTGCTAATTCAGTGCAGAGCTTCGGTTCCTGGGGAAGAAGAGTGCGTGGTTTTTTTAGGGTAGGTTCTTGGCGGATAAGCGCTCACACTTTGGCTTCCTGGCCTGGCAGTTGATAACAATCAAGAAAACAACGGGTACTTATTACCCTTCCCCATTTGAGACATCAAAGGAAGGAAAAGATCGTGTTTCTGTTTCCGCGCCAGACCGAACTGGAAATGGTGGGCATGTTCCAGCACACAAAGACTTCCGAGAGAAGTACTTCAAAGGGTTTCGGCGAGATACAGACGAAAATGAACCTGGGATGCCACAGGTGGGGCAATTGACGGAACAAAATGGCGGCAGAAGCGGCTGATAAATAAATAGGCGAAGAATGTGGTGGACATCTTGACTGTCCGAAGTTGTTGTAGTCACATTTTTGTAATGGCCCCGAAACGGGTAAAGGCCTGATGCTGGATAATTCTAGTCCTAAATAAGTGCAGTGTAATTGTAATGTACACCCTAAACGGGATTGTTTAGATAGACTAGTTTTCCCGCGCGAGCAAACGGGTTACAGCATGTCTAGAACGCACAGCACAGCTTCTCACAGCAACGCAGCATCCTTCGTCTTTCTATCTAGTGATGACCATTGGCCTCCTTCGCCTTTGTCTTCACGTTAATGTTGTCGTAGATGACGTATCCGGTGAAGGCAACCACCGCAATGCCAAAGCCAGGGAAGATGTTCCTGAACACGGTTGTTCTGGAAAAGATGGGGTGGTTTCGCCACGCCTCGCGTTTCGCCCATGGGTCGCGGTATAGGGGATCTGCCATGGCTTTTCGAGGGCTGTGTGGGCACAAAGACATTAGCAAATACTAACATGAAAGACATAGTAGGCCAGCTCACTACGACAACTAGGGATGTCGTTGGTGTATCACTGTAGCACAGTATGACGAGTAGGGAGAGAAACGTGGGTATGGAACGTCACATGTCACGTTAAGGGCCGGCGTTCTGGGACTTGTCATCACGGCCGATTGCCTTTTCCTATAAAACCCCCCATAGGCCTTTCCCAGATCGTTTCCCCGCTCTCTTCCCTACCCCCACTACCACTGCCCTCGAGTTGCGCTGTCTGTGTCGCACGAGCACCTCTCAGCTCCTCTGAAATGTCCCACGATGTGTCCATGCTCTCCGACGATGAATCTCTCGGCCAGAAGAGCGCGACTCGCCCACAGACAAACGGGCACGTCGCTTATCCCAATGGAAATGGTGCCGCCAATGGAGACAGCCCGATGAGCGAGGATGACAGTGATGACGACGTACCGCTTCTAGTACGTGTCCTGCATACATCGTGCGTCCCGTGCTTAGCTCACGCGGGACACTTTCTCCTGTCCGTAATTGTCTTCCTCTGCTCCAGTCGCAATCCTCACGCGTCAAAGCAGAGTCTGAGACTCCCAAGCGGCCCTTGAAGCGCAAGGTCGCTCATTACTCGTCTTCCAGTGATGATGACGCGCCTCTTGCTTCCTCACAGGTTCGTTCTGCTGCTGTACCTATGCCCGGGGCTGTGGCCGCCACGACAGTTCCTACGTCGGTTGTAGGGGACAAAGCGAAGGTCAAGCGTGCGGCGAAGAGCCGTAGTGCTGCGCCTCCGTCAGATAGCTCGAGTGACGATGATGACGACGTGCCTTTGGGCGTGAAAATCTCTCCTAATGGGAAGGCTAACGGTAAAGCAAAGGCACCGCCCAGGAAAAAGGTGAAAAAAGAGGAGGACGAAGACGTCGACTTCTCCCCTGCCTCAGATACAGAAGCTCCCAAAAAGGGTAAAACTAAAGCCAAGGCAACCCCGAAGGCTAACGGTACAGCAAACGGCAAAGCAAATGGCAAGGGCAGAAGGAAGGCGAAGGCGAAGTCTGAAGACATGTCCGAGGACGATAAGCCTCTCACCACCAAAAAGCGTGCAAAAACTGAACCCACCTCAGATGAAGACATAAAGCCGAAAGCTAAGAAGCGGGCATTAAAGGTAAAGAAGGAAGATGATGAAGCGGAAGCCTCTTCGTCACAAACAACGAAGAGGAAGGGCAAGGTAGACGACGATGAGGAGGGTGAGGAGGTCTTCCGATGGTGGGAGAACGAGGATCCTAACGGCGATGGCTCGATCAAGTGGAATACGCTGGAGCACAATGGTGTGTACTTCCCTCCGCCCTACGAACCATTGCCGTCGGACGTGAAGATGAAATACGACGGTATGTGTTTGTCATGGTACAACTAGACTGGCGTGTTCAACCTGCATCGTTGTTAGGCAAACCCGTCAACCTCCCACCTGATTCGGAAGAAGTTGCTGGTTTTTACGGACAGATGCTGGAGACGGATCACGCACAAGATGCTGTCTTTAACAAGAACTTCTTCAAAGACTTCCTCAAGGTCCTCGAAGAGCATCCTCCGGTACATTGACAAGCTTCATCATTTACATTACCCTGTACTCATAGTCATACAGCGTGATGGTACGATGATCAAGGAGTTCGATCGATGCGACTTCCGTCCAATGTTTGATTATTATGAGGCGCAGAAGGCGAAGAAAAAGGCCATGACCACCGCAGAGAAGAAAGCCGCCAAGGCGGAGAAGGACAAGGTCGAGGCACCTTTCACTACTTGCGTGCTCGATGGTCGCAAAGAAAAGGTTGGCAATTTCAGGATCGAACCTCCAGGTCTTTTCCGTGGTCGTGGCGAACATCCTCGTAAGGGTTCCTTGAAGGTTCGCATACTTTGCCCGCTTCATTAGTGTGATGCGTCCTGATGAGATCGATGACAGCTTCGAGTACGACCCGAAGATGTAACCATCAACATCGGCGAGAGTGCTACCATTCCGAAACCGAACATGCCAGGGAAGTGGAAGGCCGTTATTCACGACCAGACTGTAACATGGCTTGCGAATTGGACGGAGAACGTCAATGGGAACCACAAATACGTCTTCCTTGCTGCTGGCTCATCACTTAAAGGACAAAGCGATATGATGAAGTTTGAAAAGGCTCGTGAGCTGAAGGTACACATTATTCGTCATTCCTCTATACTGCTCATGGCTAATGCCATGCAACATAGGAACATGTTGACCGTATACGAAAGGACTACAACGTTGAGCTGAGGAGTAAACTCATGGCCGATCGACAACGAGCAACGGCAATGTATTTCATTGATCGCTTGGCACTGCGAGCGGGAAACGAGAAGGGTGAAGACGAGGCCGACACTGTCGGTTGTTGTTCGCTGCGATGCGAGCATGTCACTCTCGAGCCTCCGAACTTCCTGATCTTTGACTTCCTTGGCAAGGACTCCATTCGCTTCTACAAACGCGTCGAGGTTGAACCTCAAATCTTCAAGAACATTCGCATATTCAAGGAGAACAAAGAGGACTCAGATGCGCTCTTCGATCGTGTTACCGTAAGTCGTCCTTGGTCTTATATTTCCTTTGTCCAGGCAAAGTCGATCTAATGATCTATATTAGACCACTCTCTTAAACAAACATCTTCAATCATACATGAAGGGTCTTACTGCGAAGGTCTTCCGTACTTACAATGCTTCGATAACCCTCCAACAGCAACTCGAAGTATATACTCCTAGTGACGGTTCCGTACAGGAGAAGCTAAATGCGTTCAACAAAGCGAATCGTATGGTTGCTATTCTCTGTAACCATCAAAGATCCGTACCGAAGACCCATTCTGCTTCAATGGAGAAGATGACCGACAAGGTTTGTCGTGGTTTTCCCCAGCATAGGCTAACGGCATGGTATGCTTATCTGTTCATACGTAGCTTCGCGCTATCAAGTACGAGCGAATGAAGATGCGTCATATACTCTTTGATATGGATCCCAAGTTCAAGAAGAAAAAGGATTATAAGGACGACGAGTCAGACATTGATGACGAATGGATCACTCAACACGAGGAGTCGCTGAAGGAGAAGGAGGTCGAGAAAGCGAAGAAGAAATTCGCGAAGGACAATGAGAAGGCCGAGGCAGAGGGCGAGAAGCCGAAACCTGAATCCGAGCTCCAAGAACGCATCAAAGACATCGAAGATGAGTTCAAGCGACTCGAGAAGGAGCGTGGTACAGGCAAAGCGAGTTTGAAGCGGGCTCGACCAGTTGAGAAGATCGAGGAGGCTATCGAGAAGTTGACCGAGCGCATCAAAACTCATAAACTTCAGATGGTAGATCGGGAAGAAGGTAAAGAGGTTGCACTCGGCACGAGGTAAGTCACCTTATTGTAGACATGTCTGTACCCCTGCTTATTCCGTTTTGTTTAGTAAAATCAACTATCTCGACCCTCGGTGAGCACTTTTTACGCTTCTATTGTATATCTCTTCTGATCCATGACCGTTACAGAATTACTCAAGCCTGGTGTAAAGAATACTCGGTCCCGATTGAGAAGATCTTCTCGAAAACTCTACTGGCTAAATGTAAGCCTATCTACTTTTGTCGACCATATCTATCTAACTTCGTTGTTTTAGTCCCATGGGCGATGGAAGTAGACAAGGACTGGAGGTTCTAAGTATACAACTCCTGAAACGATGTACACGTCGTTTCTCTTAATCGTCCCGAACGCATCTTCCCCGGTATACGTAGACTCACTGCCTGGCGGTTGGACTTCATTTTCCTTGCCAGCGCAGATATACATCTTTTCACAGATCGGATACAAGGATTCATACACTCATAGTTGCATATAGGACCATAGAGCTCCCTTGTATTTATTCCGAGGGGATGTTCATCGTTCATCATTATAGCATATTGCAATTCAAACTTTTTTCTTTTCTCATCGGGCATTTATTTTCAATTGTGGCTCTGTTCTACTCTGTTCTCATCGCATTACCAAACTAAACTTGCATTACGGTCCGTTCATAGCAGTATTTTTCAACGATCAAAATTATAAAATGACATGTTGTATGAATAGAAACTTTATAGTCGGTTGTTTCGAGTTCGGAAGATCCTTCGTTGAGATGAGGAGTGAATAGGAAAATAACTCGATACGTGTGTTGTTATATAGTGAGTTGTTGACTGTCCAGAGGTGCAAAGCACAGTGCCACCCGAACTCTGCACAGGCAGACTGAAACCCGTGCTCAGGCCAGACTCTCTGCCAGGAACAATCGTTGTAAGCAGAGGCTCATCCCAGTACGTGATTCGGGTAGCGCATCGCCCTAACCAGTGGTTACCTAGACTTCTGAGTTAACGTGTCGTATCACCTCCAAAGGAGGGGCTGCTTCCACCGGGATGCAATTTGTAAAAAGTTACAGACATTGCAGGAACGATCACATATAGTGGAACTTGTTGTCTCTAAGGCACCAAATGATGTATATTGTTCTCCGCATAGAGACACTTCTAATCACACTCAAAATTTCCAGCGATCCGATTGATGTGTTTTAGCGTCTGCAAATCCTACTGTACATCTCAGCTAAGATGTACAGTGCAGCTTCGCTATGATTCAGCCGGGATACTCTTATTTCGTGACTCGGATGAGGGTCAATTGCAGTTCGGGTCACTATGCCACGGAAGTTCATGCCTTTAAAGAGCACACAATGTGAGTATTCAGTACCTTCATATTCACTTCCAATTTTTCAATGACAAACCAGACGCTCGACTACACTTTTATGCGACTTTTCCACGCTCGTTCCGATACAGCAGTAGATGCCGATCCGAGTTCGGTTGCGTTTTACGTCTCCGAAATTGTCACCACGGGATACTTCGATGTAGGACTACTGACTATCTTAGTCTATTATGCTCGTGAGTACTATGCTTAACTAAAGCTAAGGTCTAATGACAGAAATAACTTTCTAGTCTTAACAAGCGACAGAGAAGTAGATGGTTTCTTTCTATCGCTTAGCGACATGCTGAAATAGGTATTTCTAGGTGAAGTATTTCTGGGTGAGTTTAGTATTGGCTCCTATATAGGCGTATCCCAATGATAGCGTTGAAGGGGAAGCCACTCGCCCCCATAAGTCTAATTTATTTTACAGTAAGAGCTATTGAATTATGGTGAATAAACTCATTCTGATCATGGAGTTTTAGAATCGCTACGTCGGAGTCCTCGGACAGATTTGTGGAGTTCTCAGTGAGTGCTAAGATGATCCAAATACCAGTAACTTGTGCAAACTAGTATACCTGCACATTTTACTACAGACGATTGTTTCAATCTCAGTCTTTTGAGGTAAGAAAGGGACTATATGATCAAGAGAGTGTACTGACATCTAATCAACCTCATTTACTCACAGCTGTATGTTCTGTTTATTGTCATCGATACATTCTACTTAGCACTGACTTATGGATTAGGCCGAGCAATCATATGGGTTGGAAATCTATGCAGTGAGTGCACGATTCTTACTTAAAACATAGCCTTTTAATCTAGTCATTAGACTTTATCACAATTCTGCTTATAGATTGTGAGGAAATTCCGACAGTCAATCGAACTCTTACGTACATATGACCATCTGCAGATGTTCTTCAAATCCGCGTAATGGCACTGTATCATCCGAGTAAGCATAAGATAATATTAGAGGGCCGTTTAGCTGAAGATTTAAACAGACAAGACGCTTTCAATCTTCCTGAAAATACTTCTCGCTGCTGAAGCATGTCTCGAATTTGGCATACTTATCTATGGGAATTTATTTCAGAATGGTAAGTCCACCATTACGCTTTCTCTTTGAGTGTCAGAGAGGCTAAGGAGCAGTATCTTTCAGTTGTTGTCGTGAGCCTTGCGGAAGGTGTCACCTTTTGTGGGGAGAGCACAGAGACCCCAGAAATACTGGAAATCATCTCATGGTAGGTGACTTACTTATATATTTCAGCTCTGGCTAATCCAGAGTAGGATCGTCCCTTTAACATACGGAGCGATCTTGCTATGTCTAGCTCTTTTTAAGAGTGCGGAGTACTGGAGAATGTCATCCGGATCCAAAGGATTCCATCTTATCACAGTTCTTATCAATGATCAAATGTTATATTTTGCCTTGTAAGTAGGATTTTCACTCTGACAAAGTTTCAAGCTGATTGCCATAGTGTAATATTCTGTTGCACGCTGAACATAGTTGAAATCACAATATTTGTGAGCAATACTTTCGCGTCAAATCTCTTAGCTGCTGCTGGGAGCCCAGCTCTCCTCTGTCTCCTCGGAGGCTACCTCCTGATTAATCTGAAAGAGGCAGGCCAGCTGGGAGTGAATGGAGGAACGACTGACAGGTCAAAGGTTATAAGTGACATTGAATTCGCTGGTGGTATGTCGATCCTCTCTTCAATCTTGTTGATTTCTAATGCAGCTATTACGCTGCAGGTGCTCCAATTGCTGCCTCGACTGACTCGGAAGAATGAATGTCTAGCGGTTGAAGATGCGAATCCTTTGTATTTTTCCAATTAAGGCTGTGGCTCCATTTAATGTTATTATATGCTTATTTGATATCCTATGTGCATTCATTCACCTCCGATTGTTATTTGGTGATATGGAAATTATTTATTCTAGCTGCCTTATCAGGCGCCTGAAATTGGGACAATATACACAAATGCAGAGCGTCCAATCAGTGAATATTAAATAAGTCTGATTAAGTCAAAGCCAGGACATTTTATGTCGAAAAGTTCTAGAATTAGCACAGCAATTAGTAATAAAAACACAAGGACCTATATATGTATATATCTGCAAAATGGCAAATTGGACCTGAACTACTTAGCATACTTGTTTACTCTCTTCAAGACTGCTTGTACATGAGCATAAACAGTCTTCATTGACTCTCCGACCCAGTGGAAGAAGGGGCAGAGGTTAGACGTTGCTCACATAATGGATACCATTCTCAGTAACATGATCCTTGAGGAGCAGGTTGCCCATGCCTCTCCATTTCTTGTCTCATACTCATAGCCATGGTCTACATAAGCTGTTGCATAATATTAAAGTCCTTGATTTTTCATGCTACTTCTGAGTTATGATTAGTGATTATTGTAGAGTATAGAAAGTGAAAGGAATGGCCATGACAACTGTAGACTCAGTACAGAAAAGTTCAAAGCTCTGTAAGTAGGATAAGGACAAGGTTGAGGTACTTCTTACAGCTTGTATATATACTGATAGTAATGAAATAGCTGGGTCTATTGAGAGTGCAATTATTTTCTACTTCACTATTGCTATCAGTACTGATGAAAACTTTGAGCCAGACCTAGAGATAGAACCAGTACTACTATTTAGAGTACTACTATTCCAAACTCGAATATGCTGGGGGAATGGAATACTGTTCCTTAAAATCAAACATACTATAGCTTGTGTATTAGACAGAGAGAAGTGTAAACAAAGACCAGAAATACATCTTTCTTACTACTTACTCATTATTAAATGCTAAAGTGACACAATAGAGTTTAGATGAAATTATAAGTACAAGGTAGTTAAAATTCTTTCTATGTACATGTCATATCATTATTACACACTAATCAGTTAGTCTTGTTAACTCAAGTAATAGGTCTGTATAAATCCTAGAGATATTAACAAGTAATACAATACTTACAGAACATAGGATACTAATTCTGTAGAGTAGGGAGGTAAACTAGTACACAAGCTTAGGGCTCAAACTTAGTAATGGAATCTATAATTATACATAGGTCTACTGTGTTCTTATCACATACTTCTAATGACTTAGTACTCTAATAAGTATCCTAATAGATTCTAAAATACTATATAGTCTTAATACTAAATAAAAGAGGTATCTAGATAGGATAAGCTTTCTAACTGTGTACAAGCTCTACAAGAGCAAATTATTAGACAGAATGTCTTGTCTGTAAGGAGAGGGTAATATACATTATTCTTTCTTTTAGAGACATTACATACTTATTAAATATAAGGCCTTTAGTAATAAGATCTATCCTTTACATTATATCCTAACTTTTACAAATCTATTTTATACACCTCAGTCAAGACAGCTTGTATTACTTTGGTCTGATTTGAGTAGAGTACTCTTGTCTTATATCTTAAACAAAACATAATTACAGTTTGAATATTATACTAACTTACAACTTATAAAGAGCTTGAAATATACTCTATTATATACTTAGTACTCTTACTTTTAATAGTAAACTACACTCTTAACTACAGATTCATTCAAAATTTCCTTACTCATCCTAATACTAGATACATAAATCCTAGTTTGGTTCTGTTATTTATCTCCAAAATTGTCACTAAAAAGTGCTTCAATATAGTACTACTAATTGTCTTAGTCTATTAAGTATGTGTGTACTATACTAGTTAAAACAAGATCCTACTAATAGATTTAACTTTTCTAGTCACAACTATAAATAAAGAGATAGACAGTTTATTCTTATCTAAGTCTCTTAAGTAGATACTAAACTTTGTATGTGTAAGTAAAATGCTTCTGGGTAAACTTAATAAATGATTAGTTTTATACACTTGTGTTCTAATAATAATAATGAAGGGCAAGCTAGTTAACCTTACAAGTTTTATTTATTTTATAGTAAGACTTATTAACTAATATAGTAGTTAAGCTTATTCTAACTATAGAAATCCAGATTTGTTTTATTGTTAGTAAGTAACTACTTACATAAGACTATTACATAGTTTAATAAACTCAGATACATTTTTGTACTAAATAACATCTTTAATGTTAGTCTTTTAAAGTAGGAAAGGAGAAACATTATTAGAAATATTTACTAACTTTTAATCAAATCTTTTACTCACAGTTATATATTGTACTTTCTAATAAGTTACTTGTAATACTAACTCAATAATTAGAATAAGTAACTGTTTAGACTAGTAAAATATATAGTAAGTAATCTAGTACCTTTTAATATTAATTAATATAAGTCTACTATATAGCTTACTACAATTCTGAGAGTTCTAAGAGTTCTGTCTTAGAACTCACTTGTGTAGTCTCAGACTACATATACAGTTCCTGGCTCTAAGCTACACACACTTAGTTCTAGCCTTAAGTTATATATATAGTTTCCTTTTTTACTTGTATTACACTTTTCTTTAGTCTGAGCTACTTTCCTTTCTTCTCTAGTATATATAACTTATATTTACACCTTTATTACACTAGTTCTTATTTACTAACTGTAACAAAAGTGTATCTTATTATATACTCACAGTTCTTGTTTACTAACTGTAATAAAGATACTTTTGTCCTATTAGTCCTTGTGTGTTCTATAGTCTTAAAGCTTAGTGTTTAGTACTTTACTAATACTGTTCTACTTTTTTTTAATATTAACAAAGTAGTCTTTGTTATAGTATGTATTAGTAAGGTTCTACCAGCCTTCCTAAATGTCTCCCTACTGTTAGTAAGGTTCTAACCTTTCTAAACACAGTTCTAACATTAGTAAGGCCCTTTCAGCCTTTCTAAATAATTAATAAGTTCTTATAACACTCTATTATAAATAGTACTTACAACTCTAAAATGAGTTCTGTTTACATTCTAAGTGTATATAACTTAGTTCTAATGTTCTTAATACTAGATAGTGTTTAACACAATTGTAACTACTCCTCTCCTTTCTAAAGACACTGTTTACTGTTTCTCTACTCTCTTACTATTGTCTCTCAGTTCTAGTCTTAGTAGAGAGAGTGGCTCAGAAGATTCATAGCTAGAAAGTAATAATATTAAGCTACCTAGTTTAAACTACTCATTTTAGAAAATGTCTTACACTATTCTAACTATAGTCTAAATAGTTTAGAATAATATAATAAAGCTCTCTATACTAATACTAAGTAATATAATACTACTAGTCCTCTAATTATAAATATTAGCATTCTAAGAGTATGTAACTGTTAAAGTAATTAATCCAGCTCAGGCTATCTTAATTATAATAGAATACCTCTAAAATAGCTGTCTATACTAATAGTACAAATACAAACAGACTCAGCTTGAGTTTATTACTTTAGACAAGTTTTATAGAGAGTTTTAAAGTAAGATACTCTTAACAGATTAAGTTGAACAGACTTAGAACAAATTCCTCTCAACTAGACAGGAGAGTTGAGATTTCTGAGAATAACAGTTAAAAGTTACTAGAACTAATTTCAGTCTTCCAGAACTATATTACCTCTTACTAAAATACTTTTACAAACTTTTAGAGACTAACTTATACTCTAACTTATAGTTCAAACTATACCTGTGTCTGACTGTATTAGTTCTAAGCTATACTAAACAGTCTACTATATAGATTAAGAAGGTTTAACTAGTAAGTATAGTTAATGTACAACTAATAGATTTGTTAGATTATTTCTTAACTTTTTCTTCTATTCTAAGTAAGGAATCAGTCTCTTAAACCTGTTTATAATAGTAGTTAGAGTATATACACAAGTTATCTAAGTAGTAGTTAGTTAAGTATACAAGACTCTAGACTAGTATAAAAGTAGCTCTCAGAGCTAAATAAGTCTAAAAGAAGAAATAAGAGAAGATACACTCTAGAAAGCTTACTACTCTAGAACCTAGTTAGAAGTCTAGTTCTAGTACTAGAACAAACACACTCTAACTCTCTCTAACAGAACACTAGTTGTTAATAAAGTACTAGAAGTGTTTCTACTACTATAAACTATTTATAAATTATAGAGCTAATAACTACCTAACAAGTGTTAGTAACAGTATAGAGGGGACCTGAAGGCTCAGTAAGGGGACCCAGGCTACAACTATCCTACACAACAGAAATACAGAATGTAAGTACTAGAACATAGTTAGAACTTGTAGAACAGGCAGAGAGAGAGAGTGAGACAAGAGTAGAGTATATAGAGTGAGCCTAAGAGTACAGGACTATCTAGAGTAGACAAGATCAAGACTACAGGACCAGTCTAATCTTGTATGCTTATATATACTAAACTACACAAGAGTACTCAGAGAGTATGAGCTACTAAGAATGATAAACTATGAAGAATGAAAGAGAGGAATGTCAAAGATAAAGGTACAAAGAATGAAGGGATGGACAAAGGGTAAGAGACTATAGAATGAACAAAGAATGAAGGGGTGGTCAAAGGAATGAGATAATGAAGTAAGGAAGGGTAGTAGTAAGAGTCAGTATACATATAGTCTATAGACAGTGCCCCTGAGGGACAGAGGTCCTGAGTTCTGGTACAGAAGGGTGTGGAACCCTCAGAACTGAAGGTATGAGAGTAGAGAACTGTAACATCACCCCCCCTCTAAAACCAATTGCCCTAATTAGTAAACATTAGGCTTAGTTAGTAGCTTAGACATAGGTTAGAATAGTATAGTGTAGAAATCTGTAAGGCAGAGTTGATACAGAGTACCTGGGTGAAGTTGATAGAAGTCTTAGATTGTCTTAGAAGTATAAGTAAGGTTCTTAGCAGGTTCCCAAGTGCATTCTTCAACTGGGTACCC